TCCAGAGTGGATTTACTGTCAGTTGAAGTGACTTTCCTGGGACCAGGACACTCCTTCCCAACCGTGTCACCCCCTGGGATGCAGCTTCCTTTTGGGGACCAACATCGGGAAGGGACCCCCTGGGACCCTCCTGTGGCTGCCCTCGGTGTGGGGGTGCCAGTGCCACTGTCCCTGTCGCTGTCCCCGCTGCAGGAGGACGCTCGGAGGCTCCCATCGCCCCGGGCCCGTTCCCGCTCCCGCGGCTGGTCCCGCTCCAAATCCGCCTCCCTCGGCGTCATCTCCAGCCAGGAGGGTGAGTCGGGACCCCCCGGGGCCCCCCGTGTAGCCCCGGCGCTGTCCCCGGTAACGACCCGCGATCGATGGCGCTGCCACCACAGTTAATTAATTATCCACACCCCCCCCAGTTAATTATCTCCCCTCCCCGGCAGCTCCTCGAGGCCCTTTTTTAATTCCTTTCCCCTTTTCAGCTACCGAGATTCCCTCGTTCGCCTCCCAGCAGAGCCTGCTCAGCGGGTGAGTCCCCGTGTCCCCCGTGTCCCCTCCCTGTCCCCTCCCTGTGTCCCCCGTGTCCCCTCCCTGTCCCCGCGCTGCCAGACCCCCCCTGTCCCATGTGTGCCGCGGGCTGAGACCCGACACAACTCACTCAGTCACATCGGTGTCACCAAGGCTGCGGGGGACAGTGTCCCGCTCCTGTCCCCTCCCTGTCCCCCTCCTGGCCCCGCACTGTCCCTCTCCTCCCCTCCCCGCTCCTGTCACAGCCCATTCCCGTCCTCATTAGGGAGGTTGTTCCCGGGAATCGTCACGCCGGGGGCTGGCCCCGAGCCCCGCGGGGACGGGCGAGGACAGGGACAGGGACAGGGATGGGGACAGGGACAGGGATGGGGACAGGGATGGGGACAGGGATGGGGACAGGGACAGGGATGGGGACAGGGACAGGGACAGGGATGGGGACAGGGACAGGGACAGGGACAGGGATGGGGACAAGGATGGAGACAGAGTGGGGACAAGGATGGGGACACGGTGGCCCTGACCCACCGCGCTGCAAAGGGTGGTGCTGGGTGGTCCCTGTGACCCTCGGCCACGTCCCTTCCCTGTGTCCCCAGGGATGGGTGGGGAGCAGGGCCCTTGTCCCCTCCAGGAGCGGCTCGTCCCCCTCCAAGGGTGCTTTGTCCCCTCCAAGGGGGATTTGTCCCTTCCAAGGGGGATTTCTTCCCCTCCGAGGGTGCCTTGCCCTCCCCCTCGCCCCCCCCAGGGTGTCCCCAAGGAGGTAGAACACCCAGGACACCTGCACCCCCCTCCCCAACCTCGGGGCTGTCCCCCCCAAATCCGGGACCCTCCTCCCCCCTCCCCAAATCGGGGGGGAGGCGACACGTGGGGGTCATCGGGGAGGTGGCTCTGGGGGCACAGAGGGGGCTCTAGGGGCACAGAGGGGGCTCTGGGGGCACAGAGGGGGCTCTGGGGGTACAGAGGGGGCTCTGGGGTGGCTCTGGGGGCACAGAGAGGGCTCTGGGGGCACAGAGGGGGCTCTGTGATGGCCCAGCCGGGAGCGGGGAGGGGACACGGACGCTCCTCCCCGTTCCCGGCGGGGACAGAGCGGGATTGTCCGGCGGGATCGTCCAGCGGCATCGCCCGTCGGGATCATCCAGCGGGATCCTCCTCCCGCAGCGCCGGGAGCGACGCGCGGCTGGCGGGGGAGGTGGGGACCCCCCCGGACCGGGACGGGACCCCCCTGGACAGGACCCTCAGCTTCATCCGCAGGATGACCGGGAAGACGAAGGTAGGGAAAAGCGAGAGCGGGGGGTGGGATCCGTTCCCGGGAACCGGCGGGAGATCCCGGGATCCCGGGTGGTGGGATAACGGGATGGGGGGGTCAGGGATGCGCTGCCTCAGTTTCCCCACTCCCGCCCGGCTCCGTCCCGCGCTGTTTTCCAGACTTAAGGATCTAAAAGGGGGATGGGGGGAAACCCGGGAATGTGCTCCGGGAACGGATCCCAAGCGGATCCTTCCCGGGAGCGGCACCGCCACGACCCAACCCCGTTCCCCTCAGTTTCCCCATTTCCCGCCTGTTCATGGGGGGCTTTCGTGGCCCCGAGGGGTGCGGGGGGGTCTCTCTCCCTCCACAGCCCCCGGGGGGGGCCCGTCTCCTTCCCCAGTCCCGTTTTTGGGGGGCTCGGGGGGGGAAGCTGAGGCACGAGGGACACGGTGGCCGCCGGTGGCTTTGTCCTCGTGGCTGTCGCACCCCCCGTTTTGGGGGAGGCAAAACCGCCGTAGCCCCCCCCCCAGACCCCCGAGCGGCCCCGATTCACCGCCATGTGGAGCCGTTAATCCCCGATCTCCCTCCTCCTCCTCCCGCTCTTCCCGCCGGATCAGCCGCCAGCTGTTCCCATCTGGGGGGGCCCCGAGCCCCCCCCGGCTCCCAATCCCGCCTGGAGCAGCCGCGGTATCCGGAACCGCCCGTCGGGAACGGCTCCGACCTCTTCCCAACGCCCCGGAGGGGCCGCAGGGCGCCGAAATCCCCGGTTTATTGGGATTTTTTATTAGGGCTTTTTTTTGTTATTTGTTAGGGATTTTATAGGGAAAAGGCGCCTGGAAGTTGGGGGGCGCTTTTGGCGGGGGGGGGCTCTGGATCCGGTTTGGGATCGGGATGGGGGTGGGAAGGGGGTCGGGACAGCGGGACACGGAGCCGGCACGTGGTGGAAAAGGGGGATGTTGGGGGTTTGGGGGGACCCCAGTAGGGGGGAGCAGCCGCAGCCCCCCCATTCCCCCCTTCCCGAGTTTTCCGCTTCCCTTTCGCCTCCGGGGGGTTTTCCAGTGCGGATCCACGTGGGAAGTGGCACCGGGCCCCCCCCCCGGCTCCCCCCGGAGCATCCGGAGGCCTCTCCAGGGTTTCCTTCCGCGGGTTTTGGGGCTGTTTTGGGGTAACGGCCGCGAAGGGGGAGGGGGAGCAAAGCTCGGCCGGGGGTGAATCCAGGAGGGAATGAGGAATCGGGAACGGGGGTGAAAGGGGGAGAGTGACCTCGGCCCCCCCTCTGGGATTCCCCCCCGGGTTCGATTCCGCTTTGGGGACCGGGAGTTAATTAAAATCCGCAGTTTAATTAAAATCCGGCCTTGGCAGCCCCGGAACGAGACCCGGGAGCGAGCTGGGAATGAGTCAGAAATGAGGCCCAGCCACTTCCAGGGATCTGCTGCGACCCTGGGATTGGGATACTGCAAGTTTTCCTGCATCCCAACTTTTCCTTTTCCCTGGGAATGCCTTCCACGGGTCCATCCCGCCCTCCGCGGGTCCATCCCTCCCCTCTCCCGCGGGATTTGCAGGGGCTGGATTTGACACATTCCCTTTCCCGGGAGCTGTTTTCCGTAGGAAAAGGGGGGTATCTGGGAACCGGGAATGGTGACACCTCTCCATGGCACCGGTGGCTTTTCCTGGTTATTCATTAACCCAAGTGCCACCGACTCTCTCCGGTGCCACCCGGCCTTGTCCCCATCCCCCAGGCTCGGAAAAGTGGGGAAAAGGGATAATTTATTCCCCGAGGAGCCGTTGGCACCCCAAAGCAGGGGGGTGGCTTCGTCCCCGGGGCTCCCCTGGGGACGCATGGGGACTTTGGGGTCCCCAAAAAGCCGCAGCCGGGGCCGGGAGCGTTATCTCGGGATCCAGCCGATAAATCCCGGCTTATCCCGGCCGGAGTTAATGTTCAACCAGGCGAGGCCGGCCCGGCTCCCGCTGCCAAAGCCGCTCCCAAGCCACTGCTTTAGGGAGAAAAAGCGACATCTCCCTGAAATAGACCTTTATCCCAAGTTTCTGTCCCTGGGAAGCGACAGCACCCCCAGAGCTGCGTTCCCGGGAAGGGTCCAGCCTGGGTTTGCTCCAGCTGGGAGATAAAAGCCCCCAAAAGGGAGGAAACGTAGTTAGGATTTGTGTGTCCCCCAAAACGGTGCTCCGGGGGTATCCAGGGCTCGGGGGGCTCCGGGGGGGTTGGAATCCCATGGGATTTGCTGCCGGTTTGGGGGATCCCAGCCTTGGTGTCGCCCTGGGATGGGGCTGTTCCCAAAGGGGGTTCCACGGAAGCTGGGAGGGGGAAACTGAGGCAGGAGAGGAGGAAGGGGCGGACTTGGGGGCCCCACCCGGGGCCGGAACAGGGGGGACTCCGAGGGACGATCCCGGGAATGCTGGGCCGGAGCCGGGGGGACATCCCGGGATGATCCCGGGATTCTGTGGCCTGATCCAGGGTGTCTGGGGACCAATCCCAAGGGATACTGGGCTGTGATCCAGGGTGTCTCTGGGGACTGTTCCAAGGGATACTGGGCTGTGATCCAGGGTGTCTCCAGGCACCAATCCCAAGGGACGGCGGGCTGTGATCTGGGATGAGAGCAGGGGCTGATCCCTTGGGATGCTGGGCCACAGATCCCATGGGATGCTGATCCCTCGGGATGCTGATCCTGGAGGGTGCTGGGATACAGATCCCGTGGGATGCTGGGGTGTTGATCCCGAGGGATGCTGGGGTGATTCCAGAGCCCAATCCCGAGGGATGTCTGGGTGCCTATCCCATGGGATGCTGAGGTCCCGATCCCAGAGGATCGGGGTGCTGATCCCAGGGGATGCTGGGGGCCCAATCCCAAGGGATGCCAATCCCAGGGGACACTGGGATGGGGGAGGGGGGGATTCCGATCCACCGATCCCTCGGGATGCCGAAGTCCTGATCCCGGGGGATGCTGATCCCTCGGGATGCTGAATCCAGGGAGTGCTGGGGCACCAATCCCTCGGGACGCCAATCCCGGGGGAGACGCCGGGGTGACTTCAGGGTACCAATCCCGAGGGAGGGTGATCCCGGCTGGATCCCGGCTGGTTCCCGGTTGGTTCCCGGCTGGATCCCGGGGTTCCCAGCCCGGCCCCGGGGACCCCTCTGGAACAAAGGCCCCGCGGGCAGCACGAGGCCGGGGGGGAAGGGGGGGGGGTGAGACCCGCCCCCGGGGGGCGGGACCGGCGGGCACCGGGAGGGCCCGGGAGCACCGGGAAGGAGCCGGGAAGGAGCCGGGAGGCACCGGGAACACCGGGAGGGAGCCGGGAGCGCTCCCCGGATTATGTCCCGTATCGAGTCCCTGTCGCGAGTCAGGGGCGATCGCGCCAAGGTGGGTCCCCCACCCCGCCCCGAGCCAGGGTGTCCCTCCTCCTCTCACCCTCTTTTTGGGGTGGGGGGGCTTGTCCCTCCCTGCTCCTGTTTCGGGGGGGGTCACCCCATCCCACCCTCCTCACCCCGACTTGGGGAGGGGGCTCTGCCCTTCCCCGCGCGGCCGGGGGGGGATTGGGGGTTTTGCGGGGTTCGCGGGATGATGCTCGTGATGTGTTGGGGGGGTGGGAGTTACGCTCTTTGGGGGTCCCGAGCCAAGAGGGGCATGCGGGAAGGGGGCGAGGACCCCGCTGTGGGGCGGGGGGTCCTGGTAGGACATAACCCCCCCGCCCGCACCGTCCCCAGAACCGGGACCACCCACCCCCTCCCGCAGCTCCGGGGACCCCGTGTGCCTCCCCAACTTCTGCGACCCCAAAGTTCCCCGGACTCTTCCCGCCGCCGTTTCACGCGAGCGCGAGGTTTTGGGTGACGGAGGATGAGGATGAGGATGAGGAAGTGTCGCCTTCCCTCTTGGTTGGCGGGGAGGGGGAAGTTTAGGGACCCCCATAATTTCATCGCTCCTTTGGACACAAAGGGGTCGGGGGTCGGGATGGGGACCCTGAGGCTCGGGGGGCGCGGCCGAGGCTCCGACCCCGTGACTGGGGAGTGCGGGGAGCGAACATGTGGCAATGCCCGCGTGGCAGAAACGCCGGGAGGCACAGGGGGTCACAGGGGACTCACAGGGGACCCCGTGAGGCTTTGTGCGCGCGAGGCCGTCGGGCAGAGGGGGGACCGGGGAGGGCAACGCTGTGACCCCCAGCATCGAGGTACCCTAAAAACGTGGATTTTGGAGGGGAAAAACCCTGGAGCCGCCGCCCCCTCCCTCCCTGCCCTTGGATGCGCTGAGTTGGTCGGGTCTGAGCCCTGTGGGTTTGGGGGTTCCCGCTCTGGGGAGCTCAGGAGGCGGTTTGGGGACTCAAGGGACGGATTTTGGGGGGCTCAGGGGGTGGTTTTAGGGGAGGGCGAGGGGAAGTGGTTTTTGGTTCCTGCACCGCCCCGGGTGTGGGGAAATGGTGGTTTTTGTTTAAAGAAAAGTTTCGTCCTCAGTGATTTTCGCCCCACCCAGACCCGAGGGAGGAGGGCAGGAGGGGTTTTGGGGGTTCACGGGGAGGGGACGGCTCCCAAGGGGACCCCCAAATGCAGCGCGACTCTCGGGCCGGCGGATGGGACATATGGGGAACTCCCGACCCCGGGGGCTTCAAATGCCCGGGGGGGGCAAATCTGGGGGCGAGGGGAGGTGTGGGAGAACGCCCCGATTTCTGCGGGGGGGACCGGAGCTGTTGGGGGTCCCCCCGTGAGTCCCGGCCCTGCCCAGCGGGGTCTTTTGTTGCCGCGGCCGTGGCTTTGTTCGACGCCGGGGTGGCAGCAGGGGAGGGGGGCTGTCCCTAAAATGGATGGGGGGGACCGACCTAAAAAGGGGAGAACCGCCCCCCCAAAAAGGGGGGACTCACCCCCAGCAGCTCCGTGGAGCTCCTTCGGGGTTCAGATCCTTCAAAACGTCGCTTTTCGGGGGGCTTGGGGGGTTTATATCCTCCCCCTCCTCCTCGCCCTTCCCAGCCGTCCCAAGTGGGGTTTTTTTTCAGGGGGGGTGTGACAGGACCCCCAAAACTCCTCGCAAGTTTTCGGGCGCCCGCGGCGGGGAGAGGTGGGTCCAGCGCAGGAACAGGAACCCAAAAAGCCCCGTTTCTATTTAAAGCGCAGGAAACTTCCCGCCCCCTGCGAACAGGGTGTGTGTGGGGGGTCGGAAGTTGGGGGGGGGGTCGGAAGTTGAGGAGTGGGGGGACCCCCCCAAATTCCCCGCACGGAGAAGCCGCGTGGCCCGACAGCCGGTTTGTGGCGGCGGATTGGGTTTGGGGGGCTTTGGGGCGCGGGGGGCTTTGTGTTGGGGTCTCCGCTGATGGGGGGCGTGGGGGTCCTTACAGCCCCCTCCGGGGTCTTGCAGCCGCACGGTGACTCGTGTCCCCAAATGTCCCCTATTCAGGGTGCACCGTGACCCCCTGGGTGGGCTCCCCCAAGAGGGTGAGGGGGTGAGACCCCACCCCAAAATGGTTTCCAGAGCGATGCCGGAACATCGCGGGGCGTGTTTTGGGGTGGGGGTCACTCGTTGCGCAGTGAGGGGTTTTGGGGTGTGAGGGCTTTGGGGGTGCTGCGGGGGTCCCAGGCAGAGTGGGGGGTCCCAGACGGGGGCCCGGGGAGGGGGTGGGGAGCAGGAAGCGGCCGCTGCTCCCGCCTTTGTCTGGCGGCGGTTTTGGTTTCCTGCAGGGGGACCCTCGAGGGGGGGCCCAAACCAGGGAGGAAAACATGGGAATCGGCAAAGGAAAAAGCAGGGAGAGAGAAAAGTCGTAGGAAAAGAGAGAAAACGGTGAAAAAATAAATTAAAAGAAAAGAAAGATTAAAAAGTGGGGGGAAATAGCGGATTAAAAAAGGAAAATAAGCGGGAATAAGCAGGAAAAAAAGGGAGGAAAGCAGGAGAAAAGAGGAGTGGAAACAGCAAAAAAGGGGAAAACAAGTGAAAGGGGGAAAAGCAGGAAAAAGGAAAATAAGCATAAAAAGGCAAAAAGGGGGGAAAGAGTTAAAAAGCATAAAAAAAGGGAGAGAGGCGCGGGGGGGGGGAAGAGTGGAAAGAAAAGAAAGGGGAGAAAAGTGGAGGAAAGGAAAAAAGGGGGAGGAAAATAAAACAAAGGAGGGAAAAGGCAAAATGAGGAGAGAGAAAGCGGGAAATAAAAGGGAAGGAAAAGGGGGAGACGAGAAAAAGCGCAGAGGAAAAAGTCAAAGGAACGGAGGGGGGGAACAAAAAGAGGAGCAAAACAAACAGTCCCGGCGGGGCGAGGGGGAATCAAAGGCGCGCAAACAAACGAGAGGGGCGGAACCAGCGCGGGGGGGACGGAGGGGGATGGCGGGGCCGATGTCGCGGCCCCGATGTCGCGATGTCGCGGTGCTGTCGCGGCCGAGAGGGCACGGGGGTCGGGATGTGCTGCTGCTCCTGCGCCCCGTTCCCCACGGATGGGGACGCAGAGGGACCCCTGTGCCAGGAGCGGGTGAGCCCCCCCAAGACCCCCCCACATCCTCCACACACCCCAGGGGGCCCCTCTCGGTGGATCCTTGGGGTCCCGCGGGGGTCTCACTCGTGTCCCGGGGGGTCCCACGGGGGGCCCATCAGGGTCTCACCCAGATGGTCCCACTGGTGTCTGTGGGGTCCCACTCCTGTCTCAGGGGGTCCCACGACCCGTGGGGTCCCACTGGTGTTGCCCCCCTGTCCCACGGGATCCCACTCAGTCCCACAGGCTCCCACTGGTGTCCCATGGGATCCCACTCTACCCTGTGGGGTCCCACTGGTGTCCCGTGGGGTCTCCTGTTGGTGGGGTCCCTCTCCAGCTCCTCTCCCTCCCTCCTGCTGGGGGTCCCTCGGCCTCTGCCCACCCTCGGGGGGGATTTTGGGAGTGGGGACAGACCCCGGGACCCTCTTTGGCTCTGGGGAGGGGGATGTGGGGTCCCAAAGCGCCGCTGTTTGGGGGGGGCTGTCGGTGGGTGCCCCCAGTGCCCCGAACCGGTGCCAGGCACGGCTGGTGCAGGGGGGGGGGGACACAAAGACCTCTCTATGCCCGAGGGGACACGGCAGGGGGGGGCTCTGGGGCGGGCACAGGGACACTCGGGGTGACACCTCCCTTTCCATGTGGGAAACCCAGAGCCCCCATCCCATCTCAATCAAACCACCCCCAGGAGGGTTGGGAGGCTCATCCGTCTCCCCACACCCCCATTTTGGGGGCAAAAAGGGTGAAACCGCCCGGTTGGGCTAAAAATAGAAGGTGGGGGGTGGGGGGTGCGGGGTGATGTCCCCAACCCCCACGGGGCAGCGTCACCCCTCCCCCACCCAATGGGGACAGGGTGCGGGGCGCCGGGAGTGGGATCTCTCCGCAGCCAGGGTTGCCATGGAGGCGGGATGCTGGGGCGGCGAGCGCCGGGAGCGAGGTGGTCTCTCCTTCGTCCTCAGGGCTCCCAGTGACCCCAGGGGTCAGCCGCCCTCGCTGCCAGCGCCATGAGCCGCGCCCCGAGGGCGCCGGGGGGGCCGGGGGGGGCCGCGGGGAGACCCCCCCGCTGCCGCAGCCCCCTGAGGCGGCCGGGGCCGCTGTCCGGGCAGGGCAAGGACAAGGACAGGATGAAGGAGGGCAAGGACAAGGATGCCCGGTACACCAACGGGCACCTCTTCACCACCATCTCCGTGTCGGGCATGACCATGTGCTTCGCCTGCAACAAGAGCATCACGGCCAAGGAGGCCCTCGTGTGTCCCAGTGAGTGCTGGGGGAGGGGGATGGGGGGGGTTGCCAGGGGGAGAATTACCAGGGTGGGATTGCCAGGGTGGGTTTTGTGGGGTGGTTTTTTCAGGGTGGAATTGCCAGGGTGGCTTTGCCAGGGCAAAATTTCCAGGGTGGTGGGTTTGATGGGGTGGTTTTTTTCAGGGTGGAATTGCCAGGGCAAAATTCCCAGGCTGGGTTTGATAGGGTGGGGTTTTTTTGGGGTGGAATTGCCAGGGTGGCTCTACCACAGCAGCTTCTCTGGGGTGGCTTTTCCAGGGTGGATTTGCTGGGATGGTTTTTCCCGGGGTGGCTTTGCCAGGGCAGAATTGCCGGGCTGGCTTTGCCGGGATGGCTTTCCCTGGGCTGGATGTGCCAGGGGTGGCATTTCCAGGGTGGCTTTTCCAGGCTGGAATTGCCGGGGTGGGTTTACCGTGGCAGCTTTGCCAAGGCGACTTTTCCCAGGATGGCACTGCCAGGGTGGATTTGCTGCAGTGGCATCGCCAGGGTGGCTTTTCGTGGGGTGGCTTTGCCGCAGTGGCTTTTCCCAGGGTGGCTTTTTCCAGGCTGGAATGGCTTTTCCTGGGGTGCCTTTGCCATGGCGGCTTTGCCGGGGTGGATTTGCCGCAGTGGCTCTTTCCGGGGTGGCTTTTCCGGGGCGGAATTGCTGGGGTGGCGTTGCCAGATGGGCTTTGCCGCAGTGGCTATCCCGGGATGACTCTTCCAAGGGTGGTTGTGCCGGGGGTGGATGTGCCAAAATGGGACTGCCGGGGTGGATTTGCCACAGCAGCTTTCCCAGGATGACTTTGCCAGGCTGGCTTAGCCAGGGTGGATTTGCCAAGATGATTTTTCCAGGATGGCTTTATCAGGGTGGCTTTTTCCAGGATGGCTTTTCCAAGATGGATTTGCCACAGTAACTTTCCCAGGGTGGCTTTTCCGGGGTGGATTTGCCACAGTAGCTTTCCCAGGGTGTCTTTGCCAGGACGATTTTTCCAGGATGGTTTTCCCAGGGTGGCTTTCCCAGGGTGTCTTTTCCAAGCTGGCTTGTCCATGGTGGCTTTGGCGGGTGGGCCCTGCAATCCCCATTCCTGTAGCCCGGCTCCTGCCTGGATTTGTGCCGTGGAGCAGGCAGGGAGGGGGCGGTTTCTCCTGCCTGGCACATCCCAGATCCCCGGGCTGGGGGCTCCGTGTCCCCCTGCAGTGTCCCAGCTGTCCCCCGGCAGCTGCAGCTCTGGGTGCCGTCCCCACCCACGGCATTCCCACCACATCTGCTCCTGTCGCTCCGGCGGCTCTGCCGGGCTCAGGGGAGGGGGGGTGGCAGGAGGGTTCCCCCCCCCCCAGGGTCTTTGTCACCTCCCCGTGTCCCCCCCCAGCCTGCAACGTCACCATCCACAACCGCTGCAAGGACACGCTGCCCAACTGCACCAAGGTGAAGCAGAAGGTGAGCATGGGGAACGTGGGCTGGACGGGCCTGGACACTTCAGGGGGGATCTGGGGCGGGAATGGGGGGTTTGGGGACACAGGGGGACAGTGACGCCTCCCCCTGCCCCCCCTGCAGCAGCAGAAGGCGGCGCTACTGAAGAACAGCTCAGCCCTGCAGTCGGTGGCGCTGCGCAACAAGAGTGAGTGGGGGCCCTTCCCAACCTCCCCAAACCCTCCCAAACCTTCCCAACCTCCCCAAACCTTCCCTTCCCAACCTTCCCAAACCTTCCCAACCTCCCCAAACCTTCCCAACCTCCCCAAACCTTCCCTTCCCAACCTCCCCAAACCTTCCCTTCCCAGATCTCCCCTCCCCCTGTGTCAGGGTGTCCCCACACACCCTGGGGAGTGACAGGGGGTCCTGTCCCTGACCCCCCCGCTGTGTCCCCCCCCAGATGCCATCCGGGAGCGCCCCAATTCCGCCATCTACCCCTCGGAGAGTTTCCGGCAGACGCTGCTGGGCTCCCGCCGGGGCCGCCCCTCCCTGTCCCTCTCCAAGAGCGTCTCCACCACCAACATCTCAGGGTAAGGGCGGGAATTGGGGCCCGGGGGGGGTCCAGAGGTGTCCCCAACGTGCCCATCGTGTCCCACCCACCCCTCCAGGACGTTCAACGATGAGTCCCCCCTGGGCATCCGGCGCATCCTGTCCCAGTCCACCGATTCCCTCAACATGCGCAACCGGACGCTCTCCGTGGAGTCGCTCATCGACGAAGGTGGGCACGGGGGGGACACGGGAGTGGGGACATGAGGGGGGGGACATGAGGGGAACCCCGAATCCCACCACTGCTCCCCCCTCCAGGCCCCGACGTGATCCTGAACCAGCTGCTGAGCGACCTGGAGGCCGACGGGCGGGAGTTCGAGGCGGATTCCTGGAGCCTGGCCGTGGATAACACGTTCCTGCAGCAGCTCCGCATGGACGTCATGAAGAGGCAGGACGTCATCTACGGTGAGGGGACAGGGACAGGGCAGGGGACAGGGATATGGGAATGAGACAGGGACACGGGGACAGGGTAGGGGACAGGGCAGTGTCAGACACAGGGATGGGACAGGAATGCAGGGACAGACATGGGAACACAGGGATGGGGATGCAGGGTCCTGTCCCTGGGGGTTCCTATCCCTGTCCCCTGGGTGTCCCTGTCCCTGTCCCTGTCCCCCTGTGCCCACACCCGCCGTGCCCGCCCTGGGTGACCCCGCCGTGCCCCCGCAGAGCTGATGCAGACGGAGCTGCACCACGTGCGGACGCTGAAGATCATGGGCGGGCTGTTCCGCAGGGCGATGCTGGAGGAGCTGCAGCTCGACCCGGGCACCGTCCAGCGCATCTTCCCCTGCCTGGACGAGCTCAGCCTCCTCCACCAGCGCTTCCTGGCACAGCTCCTGGAGCGGCGCCGAGAGTCGCTGGCCCAGGACAGCAACAAGAACTTCGTCATCGACCGCCTCGGGGACATCCTCGTCAACCAGGTGGGGACAGGGAGGGGACATGAGGGGTGTGGGGGGAGGAATGGGGCATGGGGGGAATGGGGGTGGGGATGGGGAAATGGGAATGGGAATGGGGGAACTGGAGATGCTGGGAGTTCTGAGTGCCAGGAGATGGACGAGCAGGGAGCCAGGAATGGGGGAGCAGGAGTTGGGGAGCAGGAGAGCAGGAATGGGGGAGCAGGAGAGCAGGAATGGGGGAACAGGAGAGCGGGAATGGGGGAGCAGGATTTGGGGAGCAGGAGAGCAGGAATGGGGGAGCAGGAGAGCGGGAATGGGGGAGCAGGAGTTGGGGATCAGGAGAGCAGGAATGGGGGAGCAGGAGAGCGGGAATGAGGAAGCAGGAGTTGGGGAGCAGGAGAGTGGGAATGGGGGAGCAGGAGAGTGGGACACTTTGGGCTGGGAGTGCCAGGGGATGGGGGGGGATGCTCAGGGGTGGCAAGGGGGGGTCCCTGTCACTGATTCCCCCTGACCCCCGCAGTTCTCGGGCCCCAGCGCGGAGCAGCTGCGAAAGGCGTACGCCGAGTTCTGCAGCAAACACAGCCGGGCCCTCAAGGAGTACAAGGACCTGCTGGCCCGAGACAAGAGATTCCAGCAGTTCATCAGGGTAGGCTCCTGGGGGGCTCCCCCACTCCTGAGGGACCCCCAGGGTGGGGCCTGGGGGCTTCCTGTTCCAGAGAGGCCCCCCAGAATGGGCACTGGGGGCTCCCTGTTCCAGGGGGACCCCAGGATGGGGGTTGGAGTCCCCATGACTGGTGGGGTCACAGTTTCGGGGGTCCCTGCTGAGGGGGGGGTCACCCATTTTGGGGGTCCCTCTGTTTGTGGGGGGGTCCCTGCTGACAGGGTGTCCCCGTTTGCCCCCCAGAGGGTGACCCGGTCCCCCCTCCTGCGGCGCCACGGGGTCCCCGAGTGCATCCTGCTGGTGACCCAGCGCATCACCAAGTACCCCGTGCTCATCGAGCGCATCCTCAAGAATTCCAAAGGTACCGGGGAGGAAAGGGCTGGGAAATTGGAGGGGGGGAGAATTCCAGGTCCCCACCCCTCACCCCCGAGAACGAGGGGGGCTGTGTGGACCCAGAGAACAGAGCGGGGGGAGGATCCAAAGAATTCCAAAGGCACCTGGGTGGGAAGGGGCAGGAAAAGGGGGAGTTGAGGGAGGGGTCAGAATTCCATCTCCCCCCTCATCCCCTGCTGCCAGACAACGAGGGGGACTGCGAGGACCTGTCGCGGGCGCTGCGGCTGGTGAAGGAGCTGCTGTCGGGGGTGGACGAGGAGGTTCACGCCTGGGAGCTGCGTGGGCGCCTGTGGGACGTTTACCGGCGCGTGGACCCCCGGGCCAAGGTGCCCCTGCCCTGGGAGAGCCGCCCCGGCGCCTTCGGCAGGGATGAGCTGCTGCGCAGGAAGCTCGTCCACAGCGGGGGGATGCTCTGGAAAACCGCGGCAGGGCGCTTCAAAGGTGGGATGGGAATGGGGCAGGGGGAGCCAGGGAATGGGATACCAGTGCACCTGGGAGCAGGGAATGGGATACCAGTGGCACTGGGAGCAGGGAATGGGATACAAGTGGACCTGGGTGTAAAGGAATGGGATACAAGTGCACCTGGGAGCAGGGAATGGGATACCAGTGGACTTGAAAGCAGGGAATGGGATATCAGTGGATCTGGGTGTAAAGGAATGGGGTAGTGCTGGATGGAGATACTGGGAGACCTGGGAGCCAGGGAATGGGATGCAAGTGGACCCTTCCAGGTGTGGGAAGGGGCTGGAAAACAGGGAGTTGAGGGGGGTTCCTGGGACCAGGGTGCTGGGAGAACCCCCCTGCCCCTCCTCCACGGCTGAATTTGGGAGAGCAGCCCTGGTACTTGGGGTGGCATTGTGGGGCCTCACCCCCTCCCACCCCGCTCCCATTCCGCTCACCCCAGACATCCTGGTGCTGCTGATGACGGACGTGCTCGTGTTCCTGCAAGAGAAGGACCAGAAATACACCTTCCCCATGCTGGTGAGCCCCCCAGTCCTGATCCCATCCCCAGCCCAGCCCTCGCCGCCGCTCCAGGGCCGCGTTCCCAACCCTCCCCATTCCCGCAGGACAAGCCGGCCGTGATCTCCCTGCAAAACCTGATCGTGCGGGACATCGCCAACCAGGAGAAGGGGATGTTCCTGCTGAGCGCCGCCCCCCCCGAGATGTACGAGGTGCATGCGGCCTCCCGCGACGACAGGAACCACTGGATGAAGGTCATCCAGCAGGCTGTGAGCCTGTGAGTGCCCCCCGGGAACGGGGGAACCCCCCAGAGGATGTCTTGGAATCCCTTGGGATGTTTTGGAACCCCCCGGGATGGTGGAGGGGTCCCCATGTCTGTGGGGTGGGGGGCACAGAGTAGGGGTGGGCTCTCGGATCCCACCCAGGGGGCAGGGGGCTGGATGGATGTGGGGTGGTGGGGTTGGGGGGTCTTGGCTCTGACCCCTCCCCATCCCGGAATTCCCAGCTGTCCCAGCCGCCAGGATTTCCCCCTGATCGAGACGGAGGCCGAGGCGTCCCTGCGGAAGCTGAAAGGTGGGGGCTGAGCTCCCAGGACCCCCTCCCTGCATGTCCCCCCAATCCCTCTGCCCTCAATCCCTGCCCCCCCAATCCCCCTGACCCCGATCCCGCTGACCCCGGTCCCGGTCCCAGAGCGCCGGGAGCAGCTGGACCGTCAGACGGCGGCGCTGCAGGAGGAGAAGGTCGGGATCTTCGCGGACATGCTGGCCCTGGGGAGCGGCTGCACAGACCCCCCCACGGCCCCTCGCGGGACCCCCTTTCTGGGAGACCCCACCTGGGGACCCCGCGGGGACGCCCTGCTGCAGGACGCCATCCGGGAAGGTACGGGGTGGGGGTGGGATGGGATGGGTGGGATGGGATGGGATGGGATGGGATGGGATGGGATGGGATGGGATGGGATGGGATGGGATGGGGTGGGGTGGGATGGGATGGGATGGGGTGGGAGGGAGATGTTCTGGGTGTGGAAGCTGAGGCAGGGGTTGGGCGGGGATCCCGTGCTGGGGGGTGTCTCACACTGCCCTTCCCACAGTGGAGAGCCTGAAGGAGATTTTCATGGGATGTGCCCGGGATCGGGATCCGAACCAGAACAACCCGCCCGAGGTCGAGAGCTGCCCCAGCCCCGGCGCCAGCAGTAAGGGGGGGTTGGGGAGGGGGGTTTGGGTGACCCCCAGGACCCCCCTGGGGGCTGACCCAACCTGTCCCTACAGACGGTGACTCCGGCAGCTTCAACGGCTCCCTGGAATTCCGGGCGGATCAGGACGCTGGGCAGCGGGTGAGTGGGGGGGGAACTCACACACACACGGGGGGGAACCCTCCGGGACACCCCCAGCCCCTGCCCTGTGTCCCCCCCATGGTGTCACCAAGATTTCTCCACAGGACGGGAACGGGAACCAGGTCCCACCGAGGGGACCCCAGGAGGTGAGGGGGGGTCTGAGGGGCTCGTGGGGAGGGGTGCCTCAGTGTGTCCTCCCTAGGGGAACTCGGGGTTCATCCCCAAAAAATCCTGTTCCCCACCCCCCAGGAGATCAACCAGCACTTGGTGAACCTGTACCGGCTCCTGCTGCGGCTCCAGGTGGGACGGGGGGACAGGGATGGGGGGACAGGGACGAGGGGAAAAGGGATGAGGGGAAAAGGGATGGGGGACAGGGATGGGAGCACAGGGATGGGGGGACAGGGATTAGGGGCACAGGGATGGGGGACAGGGATGGGGGACAGGGATGGGGGACAAGGGGCAGCCCTCCTCTGCCCCCTTGACCTTCCCTTTGCCCCCATCACCCCACGTCCCCACTGACCCCCTGGTGCCCCCCAGGTGGTGCAGAGCCAGCAGGACCTGCAGCTGGAGCTGCAGCTCTCGGAGCGGCCGGAGCGGCCGGAGCCGCTGCCCCGCCGGGGGTCCCAGCCGGCCGTGCCCGTCAGCGCCGCACCCGAGGGGGGCACCGGGGGGGCTGAGCTGGCGCTGCTGCAGCGGCAGCACGGGCTGGTGCAGGAGGAGCTGGGCCGGTGCCGGGCGCTGTGCCAGGAGCGGGCGCAGGAGGCGGCGGCGCTGGAGGGGCGGCTGCGGGACAGCGAGCGGGAGCGCGCGCGGCTCGAGCGGGAGCTGCAGGAGGCGCGGGGGGCGCCGGGGGGGCCCCGGGCACGCAGGGCGGCCGAGCCCCGGCGCAGGAGCCTCCCCGCCGGGGACGCGCTGTACCTCAGCTTCACCCCCCCACAGGTGGGCACGGGAGGGGATGGGAGGGGGGTGTGGGTCATGAGTGTGTCTGGGCTCAGCCCAGCTGGATTTGGGGCTGGGGGAGATGCGGGAGGGGGTCATGTGTGACATGAGTGTGTCTGGGCTCAGCCCAGGTCAATTTGGGGTGTGGGGAGGGGGTCATGTGTGACATGAGTGTGTCTGGGCTCAGCCCAGCTGGATTTGGGGCTGGGGGAGATGAGGGAGGGGGTCATGTGTGACATGAGTGTGTCTGGGCTCAGCCCAGCTGGATTTGGGGTATGGGGAGGCAGCAATGGCAGTTAAAACTTGACTCATGTGTGACACAAGTGTGTCTGACCTCAACCCCCCACACCCAGGGGGGTCACAGGGGTTCGATCCTGACCCCCTCTCCCCCCTTTCCCCCCAACAGCCCCCCATCAGCGTCTCCTTACACCCCCCCGCCTTCCCCGGCCCCCGGAACGAGCTGGAATTCCGGGGGGGTGATCCCGACCGGCTGCGGGAGGGCGAGGACACCCTGGACACGCTCCTGGAGGACGAGGGGGGCCTGGGGACCCGCCACTCCCCCCCCGCCAGCCCCCGAGGTGGGTCCCTGCGTTCGGGGGGGGCAGATCCCACCCTGGATTCCCGGTGTTTTTTCGGGAAGGGGGAGTAACCTGCTGTTCTTCCCCAGATTTCCTGAGGATGCAGGATATTCCCGAGGAGGTGGAGAACAGCCAGGAGCTGAAGGAGGGCGATGGGGACAGTTAGGGACCCCCACAGCCCCCCCAGCACCTCCTGACCCTCCTCCTCCCCCCAGGACACACCAGTGCCTGGATCCGGGTGGGGGGTGTTGGGAAAACGGGATGGGGATGCTGCTATTCCCACGGGAGCCTTATGGGAATGGGGGGGGTCCGGTTGCCCCCTCCCCTACTCCAGCCCGAGCGGGGTGGGGGGGATGTGGGTGCCCCCCCCCTCTTCCCGCAGGGATTTATTTATTTATTTGGATGTTTCGGGGTGTGGGAGGCGGCCCCGGTGGGGGGGGACAGGTGGGCTCCCCGTGGATTTAACTGTAAAGAAAATTAAAGAGAAAAGGAAAAAAAAATGAAAAATAAAAAAAATCAGAAAATCGTTCAAATGAAGAGTTTGGAGCCAAAATGGGGTGGGGGGGGTTGGATGGGCCCCCCCCCCCCGGTTTGGGACGCACCCTCCGGGCGGGGCCGTTCCCAGGGCGGGACCGGGTGCAGGGCGGGGACAGGCGGAGGACCTGGCCCCACAGCTCCTGCAGCGGCAGGGGGGACACAGGGGACACACAGGGGGGACACAGGGGACACATAGGGGGGACACGGGGGACACCCGGGGGTCCAGGAGCTGGGGTGGGGGTCCTGGGACTGGGGGATCTTGGAGGGTCCCGGCCATGAAGCGGATGTTCTCCTGCTCCAGCTCGCAGGTGACGGTGAGTCCCGGGAAGGGGGGGACAGGACAGGGCAGGGGGGGACCCCCAGACTCCACACCCCATACCCAGACCGTGCCGGCTGCGATCCCAATCCCGATCCCCACTGTGATCCCAGCCCGCTGACGGCTGCAATCCCAAAACCGACCCCAATGGCAGCCCCGATGCTGCCCCATTCCCCACCCCAGTCCAGCTCCAATCCCAGCTGCAGTCCCAATCTCAGCTCCAATCCCAGCTGCAGTCCCAGTCCCAGCCCTCCTGCTGATCCCGATCCCAGCTGCAGCTCCAATCCCAGCCTCAATCCTGATCCCAATCCAGCTGCCAGCCCTGGCCCCACTGCAGGTCCCACAGCCCATCCCAGTCCCTGTTCCCAACCCCAGTCCCTGGTCCCGGTCCCTGTCTCCAGTCCCTGTTCCTGGTCCCAGGCCCTGTTCCCGGTGCCCCGCTGGAGCCTGGCCCTGCTGGGTGGCACTCGCCAAACCGGCCGGGCGGGCACAGGCTGGCACACGCTCCGGGCCCTCCTGCCCTTTCCGGCTCCCCAGGGATCTGGGATCCCCCAGGAGCCCCCTCATGGATCTGGGATCCCCCAGGAGCCCCTCAGAGATCCGGGATCCCCCAGGAGCCCCTCAGAGATCCGGGAGCCCCCAGGGAGCCCCCCAGGAGTGGGAAAACCGAGGCAGAAGGCACCTGGGGGGTGCACCACTCAGAGGGGTCCCATCCCGGGGTGGGGATCCTGTCCTGGATTTGGGGTCCTGTCTTTGGTTTGGGGTCTCATCCCAGGGTCCAATCCTTGGGTCTGGGGTCCCATCGTGGATTTGGGTTCCCATCCCGGATGTGGGTTCCCATCCCGGATTTGGGGTCCCACCTGGATTGGGGTCCCCCCCAGGTGGAGAGCTGGACGCGGCAGGACCAGAAGCTGTTGGAGGCGGTGGCCCGGGGGGACGTGACCCGGGTGGCCGCGCTGGCCGCCCGCAGGAGCGCCCGGCCCGCCAAGCTCAACGCCGGGGGACAGTCCGCGTACGTCCCCGGGGGGACAGGGGGCCGGGGGGGGACACGGGTCACGGCCACCTCCTGCCCCCCTCCAGGCTCCACGTGGCCGCGGCCGGGGGTCTCACCGAGTGCCTGACGCTGCTGCTGCACCACGGGGCGCCCGTGGACGAGAGGGACGACGACGGTAGGTGGGGACCCCATGGGGACGTGTGGGGACACCACGGGGACACCCTGGGGACACCCAGCCAGGTCCCTGTGTCCCCTCCAGAGGAGCCCAGACCTGCACCCCAAGGCAGGGACCCTGGGGAGTGTCCCCAGGGAGGGGGGTGTGCCCTGGGGGTGTCCTTGGGGGATTGGGGGTGTCCCCAGGGGTGTCCCCAGCGCCCACCCCGGTCCCACAGGCAGCACCGCCCTGCACTTGGCCACCATCGCCTGCCAACCCCAGTGTGTGAAGGTGCTGCTGCAGGTACGGATGGGAAGGGATGGGATGGGATGGGATGGGATGGGATGGGATGGGATGGGATGGGATGGGATGGGATGGGATGGGATGGGATGGGATGGGATGGGATGGAGCTGGGGGTGAAAACAGGTGAAGACTGGGATGGAGATAGGGACAAGGACACGGATATGGGGACAGGGGATGCAGAGGAGGATGAGGAACGGGTTGGGCATGGAGAGAGAGCTGGAGACAGGAATAACAGTGAGGACAAGGACAGGAACGGGAATGGACAGGGATGAGGACGGGGACAAGGACAAAGCACAAGGACAAGGATGAGGATGAGGATGAGGATGAGGATGGGGGGTGAATGCCATCCCCAGCCCCATCCTGGGGGTCCCTTCCTGATGTCCTCCCCAGCACGGAGCCAACGAGCGCCAAGTGGACCGGCAGAACCGGATGCCTCTGCACTGGGCCGGTGAGAGGGGGACATAGGGACAACCCTGGGACCCCCAGAGCCCCCCTGTGACACGTGTGTGACCCCCCCTTCCCCCCACAGCCTCCTCGGGCTGCACCTCCAGTGTCCTCCTGCTCTGTGACCACGAGGCCCCGCTGGACGTCCCCGACGCCGTGAGCGGGGATGGGGGGGACACAGAGGGACACAGAGGGACACAGGGGACAAGGGGGGGGTGACGGTCACGCCGTGTGTCCCCCCAGCACGGCCAGACCCCCCTGATGCTGGCAGCGCGGGGGAACCACACGGCTGTTTGTGCCCAGCTCCTTCGGCGCGGGGCCCAGCCCGGGCTGGCCGACGGTCACGGCAGGTGGGTGACACCAGGGACACCGTGGGGCACAGCCTGGTGGCTCTGACCCCTGGCATGGCCCCCACACGGTGGTGCCCCCTGTCCCCAAGGGTGTCACCGCAGTGGGGATGGGGGGGGACACCTGGGCCACCGTGTCACTGTGTCACCCCATGTCATTGTTCACTGTGTCCCCGTGATCCTGTGTTCCCATGTTCCTCTGTCCTGTCCCCATGTCCCCTGTTCCCTATTCCCTGTCCCTGTCCCCCTGTCCCCATGTCCCTGTCCAGGACAGCGCTAGCTCTGGCTCAGGCTCACGGGTGCCGGGAGGCTGCAGAGCTTCTGCGGAGCCACGAGGGGGACAAGGACACCGGGAATGTCACCGGGAAGGCTCCAAACCCGACACTCCAGAGGGTCCCACACTGTGGGGGGAGAGGTGAGACCCCCCCCCTCCCGGGACCACCCACCAGGGCCTTCTGACCTTGCCTGGAGGCTGATTTGGGGAGAAATGGGGGAAAACGGGGGGGAAATTGGGCAAAATGGGGAAAATTGGGCAAAATGGGGAAAAGTGGGGAAAAAAAATGAGGGAAAAATAAAAAGCAGGGGGAAAGAGGAAAAAATGCGGGAAATGGAAAAAATGGGGGGAAATGGGGAAAAATTGGAAGAAAGAAGGGTGAAACTTGGGACAAAATGGGGGAATAGGACAAAAATGGGGGAAAAGGGGGGAAACGATGAAAAATTTGGGAAGACTGGGAAAATGGGATTGTTTCTTTCCCTGGTGGCAGAGAACGGTGCCAGAGAGGTGGGAATCCAGGGAAGGGAAGAGGAGGAGGAGGAGGAGAAGGAGGAGGACGGACCCACTGCCCGGCAGCTGCGGGAGGAGTTGGAGAGGAAGACTCGGGAATGTCAGAGGTTGGAAGGAGCTGCCAGTGGGATCCGGAGGCGGCTGCGGGAGCTGGTGAAGCTCCTGCCGGGTCGGAATGAGGGGGAGGATGAGGATGAGGATGATGAAGACAAGGACAGCGCCTGCCTGGAGCTCCTGGCCCGGCACGTGGCCTTGCTGAGGAAGAGGACGGGGGACGAAGAGGGGGAAGCGGGACACGAGGCTCCGGCACTGATCCCGTTCCTGACCTGGCTGGGGGAGGAATGTGCCAAAATGCGGGAAGCGAAGGCCGGCGCCTCCTCCCGGAGCCGGGAGCTGCGTCAGGAAGCCGAGGATTCCCTCCAGGACGGGACCGCCTGGGAGCGGCTGCTGGAAGGGCTGGAGCAGCAGCTGGAGCTCCAGGACCAGAGCCACGCCAGGATGCTCCAGGCATCCCAAATCCTCCTGGAAAAGCTCCGCCGGGAGCCGGCAGCCACGTGCCGGTGTGCGGTGAACGGCACCGGGATGGATCCGGGCGGGAAGAGCTGGGAGCAGGGCCCGAGGGAGGGTGGGAGGGCGGAGAAGGAGCTGCTGGAGCTGCGGGAGGGCAACGGGAAGCTCCTGGTGGAGCTGGCGCGGCTGGGCCGGGAGCGGGAGCGGCTGCAGGAGGAGCTGCGGGAGCTGCGGGAGCGCGGGAAGGGGGACGAGGCGCGGGGGCTCCGGCGGGAGCTGGAGGCGCTGCGGGACGGGGTGGGGGCACGGATGAGGGAGCCGGGGGGCGACACCGGGGCCGGGATCCTCCGGGATCTGCACCGCAGCCTGGACGCGCTGGTGCGCTCCCAGCACGAGGCCCTGCAGCTCGTCAGCGACATGGAGAGCGAGACCCCCGCAGCCCCCCAGAACAGCGGGGACGGCAGAGCCGGGGTTGGAGCTGGAGGGACCCCGGCAGAGCCAGGAACGGGGCCGGAGCCGCCGGGATCGGAGCTGGAGGGATCGGATCGGGAGGCGGCGGAGGCGGCCGGGAGGGAGCGGGAGCTGCGGGAGCTGCGGGAGAGGGCGGAGGGGCTGGAGCGGAGCCTGCAGGCCCTGCGGGAACGGGCGGCACGGCTGGAACGGGCCTGCCGGGACAAGGACGGGAAGGTGAGGCATGGGCTGGGAACAGGGACGGGCTGGGAACAGGGACGGGCCCTCCCAGCACCCAGCGTGTCCCCACTGACACCCTTTTCCCACCCTCGTCCCCCTCACGGTTCCCTTCCCACCACCATTCCCTTCCCATCATCATCCTCTCCAACATCCATTCACGCATCCTCTTCCCACCTTCATCCCTTTCCCTCATCATCACCATGGGGGGACCCAGGGGGAATGACAGGGTCTGGGGGGTGCTTCAGGGGGGTCCAGGAGCCCCCAACTCCCCTCATACCCCCCCAAATTTCCCCCCTAGCTGAAGCAGCTCCTGGTGGAGACGGAGAAACTCTCGGCCGAGGTGCTGGGGCTGCGGGGCCGGAGTGCCCGGCTCGAGCTGCAGCTGGAGGTGGGGACAGTGCCCTCGGTGCCACCCTGGGTCACCCAGTGTCACCTCCCCTTGCCCCGTCACCCTGTCACCCTGTCACCCTGTCCCCCGTGTCCCCTCCCTCCAGGTGCAGCAGAAGCAGCACCGGGACACGGTGGCCGTGTACAGGACACACCTGCTCTGGGCTGCCCAGGTGGGACCAGGGGACAGGGACAACCCTGGGTGGTGTCCCAGGGACAGGGACCATCCTGGGTGCCTGGGGGTCAGGGATGAGCCAGGCTGCTGCTCCGCAGGGATTCATGGATCACGGTGTCCACGCGGCGCTGCTGCAGATCCTGCGGGACCAGGCGGGAGCGGGGCCGTGCCTCTGAACGGGAAACCGGGAAAACGTGGCCCATTCCACGTCATTCCACATCCTCATCCAGCGTCCTTGTCCCATGTCCCACTCCTGTGTCCCATTCCTTGTCCTCATCCCATGTCACCATCCCATGTCCCACTCCATGTCCTCATCCCATGTCCCATCCTGTATCCTTATCCCATGTCCCGATCTCCTGTCACACCCTGTGTCCCCCTCCGTGTCCCCGTCCTGTGTCCCAATCCCATGTCCCATTCCATGTTCCATTCCGTGTCCCCATCCCAGCAGCTCAGGGGGGGCCGTATCCTGCCCCATTCCCCTGGAATCCACCCCAAACCACGGGAGCCCCCTGGCCCATCCCTGTGTTCCCGTCCATCCCACCCCAACACGGAGTCAGATCCCATGGGAAACTCTTTATTCCGGGTCCCCTCGGCCGGGCCCCCCCCGCCACCTCCCCAGGGCGAACTTGGTGCCGGTGCTGACACGCTCCCAGTCGGGGCCGTGGGCCGGGAGCCGCCGCAGGAGGATCTCAGTGGGAATGCGGGCACTACGGAGGCCTCCGGCGCTGAGCTCCGTGATCCTGGGGCAGGGAATGGGATCAGGGCCAGGCCAGGGGGGGTTGGACAGCCCAGGGGGGGTCTCGGGGTACGTCTCACCCCACGGTGTCCGGCAGCACTGCGGGGACCATTCCTGGTCCTGATCCTGATCCCGGTCCCTCGGCCCCATCCTCGGTGGCCGCGATGGCCTCGAGGAGCGGCGGCTCCAGCCAGGCCACGGCACTGACCTCGTGTGGGCTCGGCCGCAGCCGCGCCTGGGCACGGACCCCGCTGAGCTGCAGGGACCCCCACCGGGGAGGGACCCCCACCAGGGAGGGACCCCCACCCAGAGAGGGACCCCCATCCAGAGAGGGACCCCCACCGGGGAGGGACCCCCAGCCCAGCAGAGACACCCCCACCCCCCACCTGCAGGTGCTCGCGGGGCTCCTCCGAGCGCAGCCCCAGGTAGGTGACGATGTGGTGGCTCCGCGGTGGCCCCCGGCCCAGCACGGGGGGGAACAGCGACTGTGGGGACCGGGGGGTGTCCTGGGGGTGTCCTCTAGGGCACTGGGGAGGGGTCACCCCCCACCCCCGGGTGCTGGGGGGAGTCGTTACCTCCCAGAGGCCAAGCAGGTGCCAGGAGAAGGTTCCAGGCTCCAGGGACAGCCCCGTCTCCTCAGCCAGTTCCCGCAGCCCTGCGGCCACCAGCTGGGGGGGGGACACACACAGGGGACACCTGAGTGTCCCCACGCTCCCTGCCCCCACCCCACGGTGTCCCCAGGGTGTCCCTCACCTCCTCTCCCGGCTCCACGTGCCCTCCTGTGCGGGGGGACAGAGAATTAGGGGATCCCCCAAACACAGGTCCCCAACGGTGTGAGGGGTCGGGGCACCCCAAAACACCCACCCCCGCCCGGGCAGGGGGGTCAGAGCACCCCAACGCCCACCCTCACCTGGCGGCACCCAGACGCCGGGGAAGTGGCGCAGGGAGGTGGCCCGGCGGGTCAGCAGGACGTGGCCACAGGCGGCCTCCAGCAGGACGGCCACGGCCGCGGCCACCCCGGCACGGCACCCCCTGGCCAGCGCCGGCCCCCCCAGCTTGGCAGGGCAGAACGGGGGTCTCTGCGGGCACAGGGCACGTCAGGGGGGGCAGTGGCACCCAGGGGGGACACGGGGGGGGACAGGGTGTCCCCGAGCACCTTGAGGATGGTGACGGCAGAGCCGGCGAAGGGCTCGTCTGAGACGAGGAAGTGGCCGCGCTCCAGCCCGCAGCAAACCCGGGCCACGTCCCCCTGTGTGCCGCAGAACCGCCCCGTGACACTCTGGGGACACCAGGGACACGTCAGCACAGCGGACGGACACGGGGACACCGCGGCCATGTCACCACAGGGTGATGGACACGGGGACACCATGGCCATGAGGACACCATGATGGTCATGGGGACATCTCGATGGCCATGGGGACACCATGGATACGGGGACACCATGGACACGGGGACACCATGATGGCCATGGGGACACCACGGCTGTGTCACCACAGCACCATGGCCATGGGGACACCATGGCCACCGTCACCACAGTGTGATGGACAGGGGGACAGTGGGGCCATGGGGACACCAGGATGGCCATGGGGACACCACAGCCACTGTCACCACAGCACCACGGCCACGCCCCCTCCCCTTGCACACGCCCCCCGCACACCCCTCACCTTCCACCCGTCCTGTCCCCGCCCCGCCACGTCCCGCCTTATATACAACCCCTGTCCCCCAATCCCCCTTCCCCTCCCAATCCCCTCATTCCCTCCTGTCCCCCCAATCCCCCACTCCCTCCTTTCCCCCCATTCCCTCCTGTCCCTCCCATTCCCACCATCCCCCCAATCCCCCCATTCCCTCCGGTCCCTCCCATTCCCTCCTGTCCCCTCCATCCCCCAATCCCCCATTCCCCCATTCCGGACCTGCCCAAATTCCGCCGCCCCCCCCCGCCGCACGTGCACGAGCACGCGCGCGCCCGCCATCACCGGGGGCGGGGCCTCCTCGCGGCGGGGCGGGGCCTCCACCCAGGCGGCGAGCGCGCCCCCTGCCGGCGGCCGCCGGGACCAGCGGGGACAGTTCTGGGTGTCCCTGTCCTGTGTGTGTGTCCTGTGTCCCATGTCCTGTGTCCCTGCGTGTCCCTGTCCTGTGTCCCATGTCCTGTGTGTGTGTCCTGTGTGTGTCCCTGCGTGTCCCTGTGTGTCCCTGTCCTGTGTATGTATCCTGTGTGTCCCTGTCCTGTGTGTGTCCCTGTGTGTCCCTGTCCTGTGTCCCATGTCCTGTCTGTGTCCCTGTGTGTCCCCATGTGCCCTGTGCATCCCCCCCAAGTTGTGTCTGCCCCGTGTCTTTCAAACATTTTCAGACGCTGTTAAATACCTGTAGGATCTCCTAAATACTCAGGGACTTTTAAATATCTTCAGTGTCAACATCTTAAGTAGCTTCTACGTCTTTTAAATAACCTCAAAATCTTTTAATACTTTCGGTATTTTTTAAATAACTTTAGTGTCTTTTAATACCTTCAATATATTTTAAATATCTTCAGTGTCTTCTGAAGTCTTTTAACCACTTTCAGTGTCTGCTAAACAACCTTAATGCCTTTCAAATAACTTTAATAGCTGCTAAATAACTTGAGTATCTGTTAAGTAACTTCAATATGTGTTAAATATCTTCTATGCATTTTAAATACACAAATGATCGCCCACTTTGGGAACAAAGTCATTCCCCTTGGGGACACTGCCACCCCCCCGGGGACACTGTCACCTGCTGTGGCCGTGGTCACCCCCGGGGACGCTGTCGCCCCCCTCGGGAACCCCGCTGTGCCCCCAGGGCTGCGACCCCCGCCCCGGGGACCCCACCCCAAAAAAGGGCCCGGGGTGAGATGCCACGCGCTGCCACCAGGTGGCACCCCGTGCCCGCCCCGGGACCCCCTCCCCAGCCTCGGGGGTCTCCCGGCACCCCCCCAGCCCCCGGGGTGTCCCCAAGGTCCCCTCTCCCCCCCCATCGAACACCCCCGGTGACACTTGGGGACCGGAACCTGAGTGGCACTGACGGGGCAGCTTGTTGCTCCCAGTACCTCCCAGTAGCTTCCACTACCTCCCAGTAGCTCCCACTGTCTCCCAGTAACTCCCAGTAGCTCCCAGTCCCCCCTGGGCCACGGCACAAGTGGTTCCCAAATGCCGGTGGGAGTGGCAGGTCCCCGCGCGGGGGACACGCGAGGGTGGCAGCGGGTGACACGCACACGCGAGTGCGGGGTCCCCACGCGTGTGCGCCGTCATCTGTGTGCGCGGACAGTCACGCACGTGGGGGTCTGCACAGCCCGGGGGGGGTCCCAGCCCTGTCCTCCCCCCTTCCCCCCACGGGGCACACGCGTGTGCAACCCCCCTGCCCTGCCCCTCGGCAGCTAACGAGGATCATCTCATTAGCGGGGATTAACGCCCATCTATCTATAGGGCGGCCGCGGGGGGGCCCTCGCGGGGGGGTGCGGAGTCCCACGGGGGTCCCCGGTCCCGCCCCCGGCCCCGCTCCGGTGCCCGGTCCCGGCCCGTTCCGGGGCGGAGCCGCTCGGGACCGAGCGGGAGCGGAGCCGGTACCGAGCGCCGGGGGGTCGGGGCAGGGGGGATCGGGAGTTTTGGGGGGATGGAGAGGGGATGGTGGAGTGTTGGAGCGGGGCGGGTTTGGGTGGTTTGGGGTGGTTTCGGGGTGGGTTTGGGTGTTTTAGGGTGGTTTTGGGGTGTAGTTGGGGTGTTGGGACAGGGGGTGGGTGAGGTGGTGGAGGTGGGTCGGGGGGTGTTGGATCGGGATTCTTTAGGGTGCTTTGGGGCGAATTTGGAGTAGTTGGGGTGTTGGAAGAGCGGGTTTGGGGTGCTGGAGGGGAGTTGGGGGACAGTTGGGACGGGGGTTTGTGTTGTGGGGTGTTGTGGGGGGTAGGTGGGGTGCTGTGGGTGGGAATACAGGGATGCTGGGATGGGATCGCTGGGAGGAGAGGGCTGGGGACACTGGAAGGGGACATTGGGAGCGCTGTCCCCACTCCACGCCCCCCTCCCGTGCCTCAGTTTCCCCCCGCTCGCAGCCCGGGGCGGGGGGAAGGGGTCGCCCTAAGCCCCACCCGCGATGCCGGGGGTCCCGCTGCCCTTCGTCCTCCTCCTCCTCGCCGGGGCCACCGCACAGCCCTTCCCGCGGGACCTGGTGGCTCGGAGCACCGTGGGGCTGCCAGGTGAGCGGGGGAGCTCGGGTGGGTCATGAGGGGGCCTAGGAGGGTGATGGGGGGCTGGCTGAGGGTCACCGTGTCCCCCCCTTCCCCAGCCACGGCCGCGTACCTCCGCTTTGGGGGGCTCCGGGGGGACAACGGCACCGCCCGGCTCGGCCTGGACTTCCAGCGCATGTTGCGGCTCAACCGGACCCTGTTCGTGGCCGCCCGGTGAGCGGGGAGGGGACACCGCGGGGGACCCTCGGGGGGCTGGGGCACGGCCGGCTGTGCTCTGGGAGCTCGGACATCCCCGAGTGTGCCTGTGCATCCCCGAGTGTGCCTGTACATCCCTAATTGTGTCTGTACATCCCTGACTGTGTCTGTGCATCCCCAAGTGTGTCTGTGCATCCCTGACTGTGCCTGTACATCCCTGAGTGTGCCTGTGCATCCCCGAGTGTGTCTGTACATCCCCGAGTGTGTCTGTACATCCCTGAGTGTGCCTGTACATCCCCGAGTGTGTCTGTACATCCCCAAGTGTGTTTGTGCATCCCTGACTGTGCCTGTACATCCCTACATGTGTTTGTGCATCCCTGACTGTGCCTGTGCATCCTCATGTGTGTTCATGCACCCACTTGCATGTCCTTGTGCCCCCCCATTCCCTCCCACGACCTCGTGTGTGACCCCCCGGTCCCCTGTGCATGTGAAGGGCGTGTCCTGTGTCCCCTCACACGTCCCCGTGTCCCCTCCCGTGCCCCCCGTGCCCCTCTCACACTCCCCCTCCCCAGGGACCACATCTACGCCTTCGACCTGGGGCGGGACCAGGGGACGCTGTACCCGGAGCGGGTAAGGGGGGACCGGGACAGGGGCCCTGGGGACACGGGGGGCACACGGGGGGAGGGTCCCTGAGCCCACCCACCCCCTGCACCCCTCTCACCTGGCAGCACCTCACCTGGGAGACGCGGGACAGGGAGAACTGCGCCATGCGGGGCCGGCGGCAGGTACGGGGGACCGGGGCGGGGTTGGGGTATGGGGGTGGTGTGGGGGCTCATGGGATGTGGGGTGGGGGTTTGAGGGTACAGGGGGTGGGGAGGGTGTTGGGCATACAGGGGTGGGAGTTTGGGGGTATAGGGTGCTGGGGGTGTGGGGTGTGAGGGCTGGGGGGGATGTTGGGGGTATGGGCAGTGGGGATTTGGGGGGACAGAGTTTGGGGAATGAAAGGAGTGGGGACAAACAGGGGCTCTGGGCAGCAGGAGGTGGTGACACCGGGGTCCCCCACATGTGTGTGTGTCCCCCCCTCAGGACGAGTGTCACAACTACATCCGGGTCCTGGTGCCCCGCGACCCCGAGACCCTCCTGGCCTGTGGCACCAACGCCTTCAGCCCCCTGTGCCGCACCTACGAGGTGGGGGGACCCCCAGGGGGGGAGTTATGGGGGGGCTCAGGGCCTGCTGGGGGGGCAGGTGTGCCAGGGAACAGGGAGGTGGGGGATAGGATGAGTTTGGGGGGTCTCAGTCCCCACTGGGGAGCGGGGTGGGGGGTTCAGCCCCAGTGGGGCAGTTCCCAGATGTGTGACGAGCGTGGGGGTCCTCAGCACATCCACACTGGGGTTGGGGGCAGCACGGGGGTGCAATGAGTGATTTGGGGGAGGAGGGGGTCTCACTGTCATCTCCCCCACTCCCCCCCAGGTGAACAGCCTGGCTCAGGTGGGCGAGGACGTGAGTGGCCAGGCCCGGTGCCCCTTCGACGCCAAGCAGAGCGTCGTCGCCGTGTTCGTCGGTGGGTGCTGGGGGGAAGGGGGGTCTGTGGGTGTTTGGGGGGCACAGGGGCGGCTGGAGGGGGCCCAGGGGGTGACCAGGAGTGTTCCCCCGCAGATGGCAGCCTGTACTCGGCCACGGTGGCCGATTTCCAGGCGAGTGATGCCGTGATCTACCGCAGCCTCAGCCCCGGGAGGGCCCCCCTGCGCACCCTCAAATACAGCTCCCGCTGGCTCCAGGGTACCCCAAAACTGGGCGGGGGTCTGGGGGTCGGGATGGGGGAAATAGGGGTGTGGGGAGGACGGGGTCAGGGGTCGGGATGGGGGGATAGGGGTGGGGTCAGGGATGGGGTGAAGGGGATTATAGGAGATGTGGACAGAGGGGGAGATGGAGGTACAGGGATAGGGGTGGGGGGTACAGGTGTAGGGGGTTGATGGGGGTGGGGTGTGGGGTACAGGGGTGTGGGGGGGTAGGGGTACAGGTGTGGGGGGGATGTGACAGAGGGTTTCAGGTGTATATGGGGCTGGGATCAGGGAGCATGGGGCTCTGGGGCCATAGAAGGGGGCAGGGGACGAGGTGAACACGAGGGTGGGGGACAGGGACAGGAGGTGACAGAAGCTGATGGTGGTCCCTGTGCCACCCCCCACTCTGGCCCCCCCAGAGCCCCATTTCGTCCAGGTGCTGCCCTACGGGCCCTACGTCTACTTCTTCTTCAGGGAGGTGGCAGTGGAGCTCAGCGCCCTGGGCAAGGTGGGCACGGGGAGGGGGAGGCACAGGGGGGCAGCTGGGTGTCCATCATCACCCCTGGGTGACCACCACCACCCCCCTGGCACTGGGGCAGGGGAGGCTCCAGTGCCCCTCTACAGGGTGTCACTGTGCTGACCCCGGGAGTCCCTGGCACTGATCCAGGTACCCTGACACTGACCCCGGTGCCCTGGCGCTGACCCCAGTGCCCTGGCGCTGACCCCGGGGGTCCCTGGCACTGCCCCCAGTGCCCTGGCGCTGACCCCTGCCCGTGCAGGTGCTGGTGGCCCGGGTGGGCCGCGTGTGCCGCAATGACCGGGGCGGGTCCCCGCGGGTGCTGGAGCGGCGCTGGACGTCCTTCCTGAAGCTGCGGCTGCACTGCCCCGTGCCCGGGGACACCGTCTTCTACTTCGACGTCCTGGAGGCCGTGACACCCCCCCAGACCCTGCACGGCCGCCCCGCCGTCCTCGCCCTCTTCGGCACCCAGCCCAACAGGCAGGGAGGGGGACAGGGGACAGGGGGACACGGGGACACAGGGGGACAGGACACAGGGAAACAGAGCCTGGGGACACCACAGGGACAGGGAGGGGCCCTGGCCATGGTGTCACCCCCCTGTCCCCACAGCATCCCCGGCTCGGCCGTGTGCGCCTTCTACCTGGCAGACGTGGAGAGATCCTTCGAGGGGCCCTTCGCCGAGTCCCGGGGGGCCACCTGGACCCCAGTGCCGGAGGACAGGGTCCCTCAGCCCAGGTACCCCCTCCCCACACCCCTGCACAGGGTCCCTCAGCCCAGGTACCCCCACCCACCCACACCTGGACCCCAGTGCCCGAGGACAGGGTCCCTCAGCCCAGGTACCCCCTCCCCACACCCCTGCACAGGGTCCCTCAGCCCAGGTACCCCCACCCACCCACACCTGGACCCCAGTGCCCGAGGACAGGGTCCCTCAGCCCAGGTACCCCCCACCCTGTTTAGGTGCCCCTAGGTGGCACGGACACCGTGTCCCCATGTCCCCATGTCCCCATGTCCCCATGTCCCCATGTCCCCATGCTGGCTGTGCCCCGCAGGCCGGGCTGTTGTGCCGGGATGGGACCTGCTGCTGGCATTGTCACCTCCGGGGACTTCCCCGACGAGACGCTGGTGTTCGCCAAGGAGCACCCGCTGCTCCATGGGGCCGTGGGGCCCGCGGGAGGGCGGCCCCTCTTCACCCGCACCGGCACCAGGTCAGGGGACAGGGTGGGCTGGGGATGGGCTGCCCCTGGGTGCCAGGAGGCTCTGGGCGTGCAGGGGCTGAGGGTGCTGTGGTGGGGAGGCTCCTCGTGTGGGGCTCTCATGCGGGGTGTGCTGGGCCATGGGGGCGAGCGGGAAGCCCCCGGGGAAGTGCCAGGCCCGGTGCCAGCCCTGGTGGTCCCGAGTGCGAGGCCCCGGTGCTGGCACAGGCTGACCCAGCTGGCCGTGGACACGGGCGCGGGGCCCCGCGGGGACCACACCGTGCTCTTCCTCGGCGTCGAGGACGGGCGGGTGCTGAAGGTCCTGGCGGCCACGCGGGACCCTGAGACCACCCAGCACCCCACGGGCACGCCGGCCCCTGGGGACACCCCTGGTGCTGTGGACACCGGGGACACGACGCTGCTGCTGGAGGAGATCAGCCTCTATGACCCCGGGCGGTGAGGGGTGGGCAGGGGGTGCCCAGGGCTGGGGCTGGGGGGTTTGTGGGGGCCATGGGTGCCTGGTGGTGCTGGGGGCTGGTGGGGGCCGTGGGGTCTGGGGGGCACCATGGGGGCTGTGAGTTGCCAGGGTGGTGCTGGGGGGGCTGTGGGCACTGTGGGGCTGTCGGTGCTGGGGGTGTGTGGGGGCTGTGGGGTCTGTGGGTGCCAGTGTGGGCTCACTCACCCCGGGCACTGTGGGGGTGCAGGTTCTGTGGGGTCTGTGAGTGCCAGTGTGGGCTCACTCACCCCGGGCACTGTGGGTGCTGGGGGTCTGTGGGTGCCAGGGTGGGCTCACTCACCCCGGGCACTGTGGGGGTGCAGGTTCTGGGGGGCTGTGGGGTCTGTGGGTGCCAAGGCGGGCTCACTCACCCCGGGCACTGTTGGGGTGCAGGTGCCGGGCCCCGGGGGGCTCGGGGGTCCCCAGCCGGGTGCTGGGGCTGGAGCTGCACCCGCCGGGCCGGGAGCTCCTCGTGGCCTTCGCCGGGTGCCTCGTGCGGCTGCCCCTGAGCCGCTGCCACCGCCACGGCACCTGCCGCAGGTGAGGGGGACACGGGGGGCACGGGGTGGGTAAAGAGGCCCAGGACCATTCGAGGGTTGCTCCATCCCATGTCCCACAGGAGCTGCCTGGCTGCCCGGGACCCCTACTGTGTCTGGCTGCCCCCCAAGGGCTGCGTCCCCTTCTCCGAGGACCTGCCGTGAGTGTCCCCCCTCCTGGGGGTGCCCCCCCGATCTCCTGGGGGACACACTGGGGACAGAGGGTGATGTCCCCTCTGTGTGCCCCAGGAGCAGCTTCCAGCAGGATGTGGAGGGATCCCTCGGGATCAGTGGGACCTGCCAAGGTGAAGTGGGAGGACGTGGGGGACACTGGGAATATGGCCCTGGCACACATGGGTGATGCCAGAGGATGGGGAAGACACCGAGGGGACACGGGGGGGGCTCCAGGGGACACAGGGGCCTGGCCCGACCCTGCTGTGCTCCCACAGAGGCACCGGCTGTGGGGCAGGATGGGGACGAGGACGGGGACCTGGCCCACGGTCAGTGACACCACCTGGGGACCCTGGGGAGGGGGGAGAGGGTTGGGGAGGGATCCCAGGGCTGGGGAGGGGTCCCAGGGCTGGGGAGGGATCCCAGGGCTGGGAGAGGGATCCCAGGGCTGGGGAGGGATCCCAGGGCTGGAGAGGGGTCCCAGGGCTGGAGAGGGGTCCCAGGGCTGGGGAGGGATCCCAGGGCTGGGAGAGGGATCCCAGGGAGCAGGAGGGACCCTGGGGATAGGAGCAGGGGACTCCAAGGACTGGGGAGGGACTCTGTGGAGGGGGAGACACATCCCAGAGACAAGTAAGGGACCCCCAGAGCCAGGAAAGAGACCCCAGGAATGGGAGAGGGACCCCCGGGAAGGAGAAGGACCCTGGGAGGGGGGCCCCAGGGACAGGAAGGGGACTCCAGGGATGAGGGGGGACCGCTGGGACTCAAAGGGTGGGAGGGGGACCCAAGGGACAGGAGGAGCCAGAGAGAGGGACCCCAGGGTGTGAGGGGGAGCGGGAGGCTCTGGGGTGCAGCCCCCGCAGTCGTTGGTGACGGGTGGTCCCGCAGGGGTGCGGCACCCCGGGCCGGGGGCTGCGCTGACAGTGCCGGTGCCGGTGCTGGTGGGCTGCGTGCTGGGCGCCTTCGCCCTGGGGGCCCTGGGGGCCGGGCTGGTGGCCACCTGCTGCCACCGCCCCGCCGTCCCCAAGGCTCCCCCGGAGCCCCCTGACCCCGCGGACCCCCGCCCAGCCGCCCGTGCCCCGCCTGTACCCTGCGCTGCCTCGGGACCCCCGAGCTGCCCACCCCCGAGCCCACCCCGCAGCCCCCGGCCAAGACCCCCCGGGAGCGGGTGCCAGAGCCCCGACGCGGCCACCAGAGCGCCCAGCTCAGCGCCCTGGGGTGCCCGGAGCCCCCCGGGCCGGGCCCCCCGCCCAAGGCCACGCGGGGGGAGCCGCTGCAGCGGCCGCAGGGGGTCCGGGGGCCCAGGCTGGGCCGTGCCCCCCGCCAGCGGCTCCTTCGCCAACCGGGTGCAGCCTCGCGGGCTCTTCGCGCGGGGGGCTCCTGCCCTGGCCCCCCATGACAAGGCCCCCCTGCGCCTGGACGTGCCCCCGACAGCCCCCCGCCCCGGCGGCCGCTGGCCCAGAGCCTGTCGCTGGGGGGGACCCCTGCGAGCCCCCCCGGGGGGGGCCCGGCCCGGGGGCTCACCCGCATGCACTCCCTGGGCACGGGGGGGCCGCCCTGGGGCCCCCGGCACGGCCCCCTCGAGCGCTCCCTGTCCATGAAGCCCCCCCTGCTCCCCAAGCCCCTCCTGCTGCCCGCGGCACCCGGGCGGCCCTGAGACCCCCCCGGGTGGGCCTGAACCCCCCAGGGTGGGCCTGAACCCCTCAGGGGACACTCTGGTCCCCAGTGCCCGTGGGAGACCCCCTAACTGCAGGAGGGGGACCCCCAGGCAAGCCTCTGCCCTGTGGGAGGGTCCCCAGGACTGCCCCAGTGGGGGCCCCCCCATCTCCCTGTCCCCGGAGGACCCCTGAGCCCCCCCAGCTCTCGGCCCGTGGTGATGGGGGGGTTCCTGTGTCCTCCATAGAGGTTTTTGTGGGGTCCCCACGTTCCCCAGTTGACCCCACAGAGGTGACGGTGGGGTCCCCACATCCCCAACCTGCAGCGACGAGCTCTCCATGTCCCCAGTTTCCCAGGGTTTGGGGGTCTTTTTTGATCCTTTCTAATTTATTTTCTGCTCCGGGGAAGGGGGGGTGGGAGCTCCTGTCCCCCTTTCCCCCACCCCCCCAGGGGACTCCAGGGAGGGGTGACACTCTGGTCCTACCGTGTAGGAGCAGGGCTGGGCCGTGGCCACGCACGGCATGGGATTTTATTAAAAATACAGCACCAAAAAGACAGCATAAATGGTGAAATTTCTGCTTTTTCAACTGTTTTCCCTCAGTAGGAAAGGGGGGAGGGCACCCCATGCTCAGCCCGCCCAGGTCTGTGAGGATGGATTTTGGGGTTTCCTCTGCTCATCCCAACCGGATCTACAGGGATTTGGGGATAACAGGGACATCTTCGAGCTGGTCACTGCGACCAGGAGGGAAACACAGGTCTAACTAACGACCCCCAGAGTGGGTCAATGACCCCCAGAGTGGGTTAATGACCCCCAGAGCGGGTCAGTCACCCCCAGAGGGAAGGCAGATGGGACTGTCCTGCCCCCACAGCAGGGGTGGGATGGGATGGGATGGGATGGGATGGGATGGGATGGGATGGGATGGGATGGGATGGGATGGGATGCCAGGCTGGGGCAGCAGAAGTCCTGACCCAGCACAGATTCCAGCCCAGATTCCCGGGGGAGGGAATTTACTGACCCAAAAAATGCTGCTTTGGGCTTAAAAACCTCGTTGTTCTCGTTTGCTTTGTTTTTTTCTGGGGAAGAGCTGAGGATCAGCCTGGGTTTGAATTCCAGGCAGAGCTCAAATTCTCCTCAGTTGTGGGCACGTTCTGTCCACGGATACTGAAATCAGGGGATTCCCCCCCCAAAAGGGCAACAACACTCACAGCTTCATTTCTTCCTAAAATGACCCTAAACCAACCCCAGTCGGTTCCCACGAGCCCCCTGCACTCACTATTTTTCATTTCCTCCTGCACAGGGGAAGTTTCTTCCACGGCTGAAGGGATTTTTTTTGGTAAAAATCACCTTTTTTTTGGGGGGGAAGGGTGGCAATGACCGAGTGGGGAAGGCACAGCATGAGCAGCTGCCAAACTTCTCACATTTACAAATAACAGCACAAATTTCAGGCAAAAGGGTAAAACCTGAAGTTGACAGTGTCCTTTAAATCCATAAAGAACTCCCAGGATTAGAATCTGCCTGGATTCATCTGGTTTGAATCACCTGATGCAGATTCTTTGTTCAAAGGAGGCCCAAATTATCGATTTTTTAGTTCAAACAGACCCAAATTAGCAACGTTTTGGGGAATTCCTAGTTCTGGAAGACAAAAACATGGATAAAAGGAAAAAAAAATCCCTCCCACAGCTCCAAAAATGTTTAAAGCAACAGCCCTGGAGTGTTTTTTTGGGAGGTCCCAGCTCCGGTCCCCGGGATTTGCAGGTTCTTGCACAAAGTCTGTGCTGGGGCTGGAATTCCCAGGCAGCTCAGCACTAATCCAGCACTGAGGGATTTCTCCCTGTTCCCAACAATGCAGGTATTGACATCCCAGAATAAGCCGTCGGGTCACCTGGCCGGGAGGAATTTTGGGGAAAAGCTTCTGATCTCTCCAGGTCAAGGTTTAAAAGCTCCTTTTGGCAGGGCAGGAGGAGGAGGGGGGGGCCAGGGCCACTTGGAACAGCCCCAAATTTAACCAAAAACGGGGAAAATCAGAGTTATTTCCCTCTGTGAACACCGGGATCGGGAGGGGGCTGATCCATTCCCAGCATGGAAACAGAGGTGGGTGTTCCCACAGGGAGTGGGGGAGGTCAGCTCTGATCCCACCTGGCTGGACGGGAAGGTTGGAAGGAAAATAAAGATTTGTTGGTGATGAAAAGCTGGGAGGGAACTGAGATTTCCCCTCCCCAAAGAGGGATGAGGAGCCGTTCCTGCTGCTTTATTGCTGAGACTTGGATCAGGTCCCAGCTCCTGCAGGAAATCCTAAATCCTAGCCCAGTGAAAACCACAGGTACAGTCAGAACTGGAAAATCAGGGGGCGATCGGTGACACAGAGCTGTGGCCTGGGGTTTTCCCGAAATGTCAGAGCAGCAGATGGGTTTTTTGGGGAAAAGAGGTGGCCTGACAAGTCCGAGGCTGAAATACCCAACAACAGAATCCAAAAATTTGCATCTTAAAAAAAAACCCAAACCCAAAAACTTGTGAGGAAAAAAAGTCTCATTTGATGCCTCAATAATACAACTTTGAGCCCAGACAGGGTGAACTTGAGGAATAGGAAGTTCCTTGGGATAATTCCCGTCCCTAAGCTCCCAAGCAGCTTTGAGCACATGCAAATTTCCAGGGAGTAAACATTTTTTAATCTGTAGACATGAGTTTTCGCTTTGGGAAGGCCAAATTTGGCCAAGCAGGGAGGAGAAAGATCATTGTGAGGGACTGAAGGTGGTGCCACCTCAACAGTTCCCCCTTTGTGTCCCCGATGGGTCCCAAGCCAGGAATGATTTGTAGTAATTTGGCAAATAATTAACAGCTTCAGAAAATTGTTTTTCAGCAGGGCAAGTCTGGAAACAGACAGGACTGATGTAACCTCTGTGTGTGGGTGTGTTAAAGAGCTGCTCTGCTTCCTAATTCTCTTTTCCTGCCCCAAAGTTAATCCAAAGGATGGAATCACAAAATCATGGAATCACAGGATCAGCCAGGTTGGAAAAGCCCTCTGAGCTCATCCAGTCCAGCCCTCGCTGAATTCCTTCCTGATATCCAACCCAAACCTCCCCTGGCACAGCTGGAAACTCTCTTGTCCTGCTGCTGGACTGCCTGTCCTGCAGGCACACTCTGGCTCCCGTTCAGTGCCCTGGGCAATTAACAGCACAAGGTTAATTGCCATCAAGGCTGAGGGTAACGGCACCACGCGGAGTTTGGGATCAATTCCGGGATGATTCTGGCCGGGGTTTCATCGGTTCAGGGATTTACTCCCAGGCTGGGACAGAACAGAACAGTCCCTGCCAACGGCCCACTTGGCATTTCTGCTCCCGAGGGCGTTGGGTTTTCAGGGAACAAACCAACCATGGCAGAGTGATTTCACCACCCCCAGTCACTGGGAATTCCTGGGGATGTTTAACCCAGCAGCAGCCACAGCCCCAACAGGAGTCATGGGAAGCTGGGATGTCTCCTCCTGGGATTGCATCCCAAAGGTGAGGGTGCTGGGAGGCTGCTCCAGGGACGGTGACAAGGACATGCCACCAGCCCCAGGGTGAGCAGAACCCCCAGAGCCTTTTGCTCCCAGCACTTCCCCTGTCCCACCTCGGGGAAGAAAGCAAACGCCAAGAAAGCAGAGCCAGGGTTTCCTTCTCTCTTCCTGGAATAGAAAGCGAAGGGAAAAGCTCGAGTGTGCGGCTCGAGGCTCCTGGGATCACGGCAAACAATGTGGGAATGCAGTAAGTGCTGGCAGGAAAAAGAAAACAACGTCCCTGCACCTCAGCACAACCGGGATTTTAGGGTAAAACCAGCACGGTCTGAAAGTTCAAAACACTCCTCAAAGAGCACCAGGTCCATCTGAAGGTCGGGTGGGCGATCCTGCAGGTCTTTTGCAACCCTCACGGGTTTGTTTTGTGTGAATTCCTAAGGACCAGCCCACAAACGAAGCACCCTGGAGCTGGAGGCAGCTGCTGAGCAGCCCTGGCTCTGCAAAGCTTCCTTCCATGGCCCGTCCCTTGGCTGCATCCTGCTCCCAGCACAGGAAACTGGGATCTGACCCGCTGCTGGTGCCAGACAGGAAAACACTCGAGCACCACAGGTCAAGGAATCAGTGGGGTGGCACCAGCAGCCTCAAGAATTTAAATGACTTGTCTCTAGATGGCAGGAAAAGAGTGCTTGGCTTTGGGGAAAGGAACGGAACTGGGAAGTGAAGGGATTAGATAAACCTCCACTTTATCAAACTCCTAAATTGGGAGTTAATTAAAGGTCAGGCACAGCATAAAAGATGATTAAAGAAAAAACACAAACCAGACAACACAAACATTTCTCCAAGAACAAATTACCAGAGCCTCAAAAACATGGGAGACGAATTAATTCCAAACTATTTGTTCGGGTTTGTCCGTTAAAGTCAAGCCCCGTCCTGCAGGCCTGGGTTTCCACGTTCCTTATTTATTTTTAAAATGGCTGTTAAAGCACATCAAGGACAACAAAGAGTGGTGTCCAAACACGGTGGTTAATAAAAATCCATTTATTTCCTTTGGGATCCACCACTGGTCGTTTTATTTAGTCTCTACTGGGATTAAATAAATAAATAAATTTATTATTATCATCTGTCTTCCCTGAAATAAGGCCCCTCTCAGCCCCTTTGCTGCCCGGTTTGGCCACGCGTGGCCCTGGATTTCAGCAGGGCCCTCCCTGCTCCCCTCTGACTGCAAAAGCACATCCACTGTGGGGGGACACGGATCCAAACGAGATAAACAAACCCAAAAACAATGTTTCTTCCTCCAATTGACCACAGTAGGTCCCATTCAATGCAGACCTGGGGAGAATGGAGCAGGAAATTACCTAAATGGACGCAAGCTCAGTGCAGGGAACCCACAATTCCTCTTTAAAAAAGGGGAAAAAGAGAGATCCTGTTCCCCAGGGCCAGCGTAGATGAAGAGATTATGAGCACACAGAGGGAAGTTCACCTAAAGTTCTCCTGATTTAACCCTTGCAACCTGTTTTCTCTCTTTTTCACCTGATTTTACTGAGTTTATCAGGTTTATTTTCATACAATACTTGGTCTGGCAGGTGAAAACACCACAGGCTTAGAGACTTCAGCACCTCACAACCTTCAGCCCAGATAAAGGTCCTTGTTCCTACTCAAAAACAGAAGAGACAGAAGGGAAAATCATTATCTGGGAGTGTCAAATTGGGGTTTTTGTTGAGATTAGGGTGGTCACTGATGCCCTCTCCTGGGAAATAAGAAACTCCTCCTGACAAGGGCCATTTCCAAGCTCTGACTGACGTTGGAACTGTCGCAGAGGGAAAATCCTGGGATATCTTAGGCAGTCCCACGTGTGGAGGTGGCATGTGGTGGCACTGGAAAAGGGGATTATGGAAAGCAGAGGTGGGGATTTGCAAGGAGATCCTGTTCAGCCACAGAGCCTGGATGGATCCGAGGGACTGGTGGATTCAAGGGACTTAGAGGGATCCACAGGACTCAGGAGGGATCCACCAGACAAGTGGACCAAAGTGAAACAGAGGCAGAGAGGAAACGAGATCGATTTCCACACCAAAGGGATGGAAAAAGGGAAAACTATTCCAACCACAGGGCTGAATTCCCACCAGAAGGTCCAAAACAGCGAAACACTCACTCAAAACCTGCAGTGAAGTGAGCAGCCCCTCAGCAGCACTGGAACCACCTCTGTTTACACCAGTTGTAGGAATCTCCTCTGTTACCTCCCGTGGTAAAAACATCCCGGAGCAGGAAGCAGCAGCTGGGCGTGTTTGGCTGCATTTCAGCGCTTTCTCTTTACTAAATATCCATCTGCCCTCTACTGGTTGGTGAGGGACCCTAGATTTTTTTTTTTCCAAGATTTTCCCCCTCAAGGCACCACAAAACCTTACCTGAGGTGGTTTTGGCGCCTGCTGAAGGGATGAGTGGTGAGAATGAAGGGTGAGGTGAGAGCCACAGTGTTGGGGTTTGTTCTCTGTGGATGAGTCTTCATCTCGTTCTGCAGTGTTTCCTGGGAAAGACTGGGATCAGAGATACATATGCCACCCTTTCCCTGGCATTTAGCATCCTTGGAAGCACGGAATGGTTTCAGTTGGAAGGGACTTTTAAAAATCATCTCGTTCCACCCCCTGCCATGGGCCCTGAACCATCTCACGGGGGTGTTCCCTCCTCAGACCCCCAAGACCTCCCTCACAGAGGGTCCCCCAACCCCTTCCCTCATGGGGGGTCCCCCTCCTCAGTCCCCCAAGATCGCCCCCTCTGAAGGTCCCCCAAACTCTTCCTTCACGGGGTCAGGGTCCCCTGAACCCCCTCACAGTGACTCCCCAGCCTCAGATGCCCAAGATCACCCCTCTCAGAAGGCCCCCCCCTTCCCCTTCCCTCATGGGGGTCCCCCCTCCTCAGACCCCCAAGATCACCCCTTAGAGAGGGTCCCCTGAACCCCCTCACGGAGGGCTCTCCCGCACACCCCTCAGATCACCCCAAGCCCCACTCCCGCGGCTCTCGGACCCGCCCCCGCCCCTTTCGCCGCCGCTCCCGCCCCTTTCGCGCGGCCTCACAAAATGGCGGCCCCGGCCAGGCCGGGACGCGGTGGTGGCGGAAGGATAACCCAGCGGCGACAAAAGAATCAGCGCCGCGCCGGTGGAGGAGGAGGAGGAAGGGCGGGCTGGCCCTCCTCGCGTTCTGTCTCCGAGGGAATCGTGCGGAATTTGGGGATTTATCCTTCTTTTCTCCGTCACCTTCCTCCCGCCCCCGTCAGGTGACGGGGGAGCCCTGGAGGGGAGTATTTTTCTCTAGCGGAAGGATATCAATAAGCACAGGGTGTGACCTTGCCTTTGGTTCCCTCAGGGGCCTTTTGGCGCCAAATATAAAATGGCGACGTCGCCTCCCTGAGGCGAGTGGGGAGTTTGGTGTTTTACAAAGTCCTGGGTCCCTCGATAGGTCAGTGTCAATAAATGTATATGTATATTTAGGTACGCATATGTGTGTATCAGTCCCCTCTGATTATCTTAAGATTGAGGCCCCCTCAGGATGCTGGACCCCCTTCTCCTCATTCTCAGGTGCCCCTGACCCACGCAAAATGCCCTTTTTTGAGGTAAATTCGGGAGTCCGGGGCCTCCTTCTTCCCTAGGGTGTTTTCCTGTGGGGCTTGTAAAAGCTGAAGTGTAAATAATATCCTTAATGTTCTTAAATTAATCCTTTAGGCTTAGTTTTTCCACACCTGAGTCCTCCACAGCAAAGACACAGGGATCAGTTCTCAGCTCGCCGTAAAAAGATTTAAAATAACTTAAATCCGCAGAACTTGATGCCAGTTTACATGTCCACAGGAATGTGCATGTTTTTAACTGATTTTATTTAAGGTTTCATAATAAATACTTCTCCTGCAGGTTTTCCCAGCTGGGAACACAGAAGTCAAACAGCTCTGTAGAGGAGAATTAACATTTTTCACCTCTGTTTTTACATGGATGGTTCAAAATCAGCACACTTGGTTATTTCTGGAGATTACAGGAGAGCAGCATTCTATTTTCACAGTAGAATGCAGATTTTTTTCCAACTTCTGCCTATTTGTGGCACTTTCAAAGTGCTGCCTCGGCCTGCCCCCAGCCACGTACCCCCCAGCTCTCAGGACAATTTTGGGATGCTCCACATCACTTCACCCCAGTCAAACCCAAAAAAAGCACACTCAAGAAGACAAACCAATCCCAGAAAAACAATCTTAGGGGGGTAGAAATAACTGTTTAAATTGGGTTTTTCTCCCCCCCATTTTGAGATGATGCTCAGAAATAAACCTCAGCAGGTGAAAAATCTCCCCGAAGAAAACTCAAGGCTTCCACTTGAGCAAATGCAGCATTTTTTGGTTGTTTTTAAAGTGGTTGATTAATTGGGTAGGAAATCTGAAATATTTCCATTTGGGGGGAAGATCAAACTGAATTCTCCATCTTCTCTTTCAGCTCAGCCCCTGTCACAGACCCCGTGATGTGCCTGGTGTCTGCCCCAGCCAGGAGTCACACTGGGAATAAAGCACATGAGGCATAAAAAGATGAAAGAAAAAATCAAATTTGAGGCAGTGAACGCCCAGCCTTGACCCCACCCAGCAAGGTCAGAGCATTTCCATGTGTATTTACCCTCCTGGACATCATTTTTTTCTGCTTGGGCTCAACCCACCAGACTCAAAGCGATTATTTTTCTCAAGAAAGAGGTTGGTGGTGGTACCCTGGGCACATCCCTGCCTCTTCCACCTCGAATTCCTGAGGGGAAGGGTAAGGAATGAGGCAGATTTGGGAGAAACTGGGTCAGGGGAACGCAGAGGGCCAATTCCCACCGCCCCGATTGCACAAATGAGTGTTCTTAAAAAAGCACAGGAGGAATGAGGTGAAAAGGTGTCACACGGGGCGGGGACACCCACGGTCACACCAGTACCCCCCAGGACCTCCCAGACACAGAGAGGGGCAGCAGGGGGGGCTCTTTCTGCCCCCTCCCATCGTATTTGCCCCCGGTGTCGTTCCCCCCTCCTTGCACCGTTGCGATTCCAGCGCCAAGAAGGGAGGGAAAGGGGGAGGAGCGGGGAGGGGCTGGAGGTTTTTCAGGGAGCCCATCAGCCTCGAGCCCACGGTGAACTGCTGAGTTAATTAGCGATGGCAAAACCGCCCAGAAACGAACAAAAAACCAATCCTACAAGCCCCCCAAGTGACGAAAAAACCAAACCCTGGCGGAGAGGGGGAGAGCAGGGAGGGGTGAGGAGGGGCAGGGAGGGCTTCAGATTAGATCGAAATCTAAGGAGCTGATGCTGGCGATGGGAGCCCGCCAGAAGTTGAAGGTGTTGAACGGCAGCAGGGTGTCCTCCTCCTCTGGGGACAGGTCCTGGCTGAGCCGCTCCCGCTGGCCCAGCCCTGCCTTGGGCTTGTAGAGGGCCATGTCTGCGAGCCCCAGCCCCTCCAGCTCCGCCACGTCCAGCCTCGGGATCGGCATCCTCCAGTAGATGAAGGAGTCGTACTGGCTGCTCATGGTGTCCAGCATCCTGGGGCTCTGGAGGGGCAGAGCGAGAGGACAGAGGAGAAAAGCTCGACCAACGCTCAGCAGTGGCCTCGAAGTGGCTGAAAATCTCAGGTGTTGCCCGCGTTGACTCAACCCCATGAGACACCCCCCAGGATCAGTCTGCTGGCGGGGCAGAGCGTGGGGTTGTGCAGGTTGGACTCCAGGCTGGGCCCGACTGCACATCTGAGCCCTGCCAAGGCTTTACCCACGGCCTTGGTGGCAGCCCCCATCCAAACACAGCCCGGGAGGGAAGGACAGGGTGGGGATCTGCTCCTCCTGAAATCCCTCCTGGGGTGTCCCCCACATCCTGCTCTGCTGGGAGGGAGGGAAAACAGCGTCCCAATGACCTGGTTCTCCATGAGACCGCACACAAGGGTCTCTCCCTTCCCTGTGCCGGGCAACAAGGGGGGGTCCCTGCACGCCCCCCCATTGCATCGCCCAGGGGGCCGTGCCAGAACCCTCTGGAAAGGGCTGGAAGCAGCATGGCTCGATATTCCCAGCACACCCCACCCATCCCTGCCATGCTGAATTCCCCCTGCAGCCCCGCCCCAATCCACCGAGGACTGGGAAAGTGCAGGAGGAGGACGCGGATCAGCTGAGTCACTGCCTGGCTTTTCCCTGGCAGGATTATGTCACTCACCTCAGTCGGAGGTGGGGAAAAATCAGAATAACCCAACACATCCTCCTTTTCCCCGCTGATCCCCCTGTTTTAAGCCTTGGAAAGCAGAATTCCAAAGGATGACTCAGGCGTACCTCGGACCGTGCCCTGTCTGTGCTGATGAGCAGCTGCTAAATTTGAGATTCCCGATGTCACTCTGAGGCAACGAAAGGCTCCTGTGCCACCCCTTCAGGGGAAACCGAGCCACGGGGCTTCCAAAGGGTCTCTTCCCTAGGGATTTATCCCTGGGGATCTGTCCCTGGGGATCCACCCCCGGGTTTCTTGCTGCACAACAGCAGCGAATTATTTTAATGGTGATGGGTGTCATGGACATGGGTTTTAAGGCTTCAAAGGGGAGAAAAATGGAATTTAGTGACAAGAGGGGGTAAAAGGGAATTTAGTGACAAGGGGGGGGTTAAGGGAGTTAAGTGACAAGTAAAATATTCAAATATATTCAAATATATCAATTCAATATAAAAGGGAACAAATGTGGGGAAAAAGCCCTCCTGTGTCGCGTGTCACCCCTAAGAAAGAGCGTTTCCCATGGGATCAGCGGGGTCTGCTCATCCCATGGAAGCAAAACCACCTTTTATCCTCTTAAATCCCCTCTGGCTGTTACTTATTTCCCCCGAGAAAATAACACTCCAACACCACCCCCCTCCACCCAAATCTCTTCCAAAAAAAAACCCCAAACCAGCCAAAAAAAGCATCCTCTTGCTGTGCGTCCCTCCTGGCCGCATCCCTTACCTGTGCAGGCCGGCTCGCGGGGTGATGCTCTCGGTGCCGGGCGGGTCTGAGTGCCGGGGGAGCCGCGGGTGGTTTGCGGCGTGGCTTTTGTCTGCGGGCGCGGCTGGGTCTGCAATGCAGCCCCTCGGATCGCCTTCCTCGGGGAGGGGGGGATGATGATGGTGGCAGATGAGTCAGCGGCTCCCACCCGCGCCGGGGAGGGGGAGGACGGTGGGGGCGGAGGCTCGGGGGGGATCCTGCGCGCTGGACCCCCCGAGATCAGGAGATGTCAGATTCCCAGATCGCTCCTGAAACCTTCAGCTGTGCTTGTTTTTTGGGTTTTTTTGAGGGGGGGATAACGGGGCGTTTTCGATCTCCGTGGAGCTGACAAATATTTCCTTTACCTGCAGGTGGAGGAACGGGGTGCTGGGTTCCCCCAAAACCTTGGGAGGGAACGGGGACATTTGGTTTCAAAAAAAACTGGAAAAGGCTTTTTTCTGATGACTGAGACTGTGAGTATTTGGTCCTGAGGCCACACGGCAAAAATATCCCGGCTTTGTGTCCAAAGGCAGTGGTGGAGCTGGAAATGGAGGGAGACACCCAAAGCTGGCATCAGTGCCAGGGCTGAGGGGGGGCTGCAAACCGGGTGGGGGGCACCTCTGCTGCCCCGAGTTCCCACCCTGGGCTGATCCAGCGTCAGGGGGACAGTGAAGAAAACTCCGATGCAACCCCTCAGACCAGGGAATCTCCTGCCCTGGCACCCAAAAAGCCCTTTTTGGGAGGGGCACAGGCCAGATCCACAGCCCTAAGAGGTGAGCTCTTGCCCTCCTCTCCCTGGGCTTTGCCCGAGATCAGCATTCCTTCAGGGCTTTAGGGTTTTTTCCTCCCTTTTCCTGCCCATTCCCTGGTTCCCTGTGTGCAGCTGGTTGTGCCAGCACTCGGCCTGCAGCCAGGCTATTTCTACCTCCTCCTCCTCCTCCTCCCCTCTGCTGTCATGGCCCAAGAGGATCCCACGTTCCTGCTCCAAAATAGACCCTCAGGCTCAGCTCGGCCCCACCAGCACCCGGCACTGGGAAAATTCCAACTGGGGATCATGGCATGATATGGGTCCCTCTGAAGGGTCGAGCTGCTGGTTTTGGGGTTCCCTCAGGCCTTGGGGGGCAGCTTGGCTGAGCAACTCCACAGGGAGCTGGATGTCACCCATCTGCTTCTCTTCAGGGTCTCTGTCACCTACTCAAAGGGGTGGCTCACGTGTGACAACCCCAAACCTGCCATGTCCCTCTCCAGGAAGGGACCTGGGGCTGAACCCCCTGGGGGGACATGGCAATGGGGGCACAGCTTTGGACTGGCTGGTTTTGGGAGGGCTGTGAGGGGGACAATGTCCTCTGGCAGCACAAGGACCAACAAAACAGGCTCTTCGGCTGGAACGAGGTCACAAACCCTGGATTATCAGCCAGGGCCACCAGCCAGGGCCAGCCCCAGGGCTGGGGACAGCGTGGGACAGAGACCTGGCTGAGTGGGGACAGTGCTGCCTTGTTCAGGATTTCTGGAGTGGGAGTGATGGGGATGTTTGGGATTTGGGGGCTGCCATGGGAAGGGATGCTCTGGGGCTCCCCCCGTGTGGGTCCCTCCATGTGGGATGGGGACTGCAGGAGGGGACACCCTGGAAGTCACAGCCCAGTTTGGCCAGTGGCTGGAGCCCCGAGGTTGTGTCAGCAGCACCGTGGTGGCAGTGGTGGCAGTGGCAGGATCGTGGTGGTGGCAGCACCGTGGTGGCAGTGGCAGTGGCGGGACCCCACAGACATTATGCAAGCAGAAGGGCTTGGAGCTGGAAATGGTGAAATAGCTCGACACCGGCAGCAGGGTGGCCCGGGGTTCCCACGCCTTTGGGTGCTTCGGTCCCCCAAGGGCTCTGGCCTATCCATGGAAAAAAGTGGGAATAAGGCTCGGGGGGCAAATGGGAGCACAACCAGCACTTGGTGGGGATCGCAGTCTTGCTGGGCACCCCCAGCCCTACCAGGACCCCGAGAACCCCCAGTACTGGCACCCCAGGACTCCCCTGTGGGACCGCGGGGACCCCCAGCGCTCCCAGGGACCCCCAGTCCTGCTGGGACCCCCCCGCCGCCCCCCTGCAGTGCCGGCGGGGCCCAGGGGAGGGCGCTGTGCCCGGTCGGGGCCGCGCCGGGCGGCGGGAGCTGCGCCGCGTCCGCACGGGCCACGCCTGGGGCTGCGAACCGGGCACGGAGCGGGACCCCCGCGCCACCCCTGCGGCTGCGAGCGGCACCGGGACCCCCGGGCCACCCCTGGGGCTGCCAACGGCACCGGGAACGAGACCCCGAGCCACGCCTGGGGCTGCGAACCGGCACCGGGAGCGGGACAGGGACCCCGGGACACACTTGGGGCTTCGAGCGGGGCACCGGCACCGGGACCGGCACCGGGACCCCCGGGACACGCCTGGGGCAGCCGCGAACCGGACACCGGGACCCGCAGCCGCGCCGGGGCAGGTAAAGGGGCCGCCACCGGGACGGGACGGGGGTGCGACCCCGCGGAAGGGCCCCCGAAGCCGCCGTGGGAAGGCGGGGAGCGGCACCGGAACGGGAGAGGGGCGGCAGGACGACCCCCTTTGCAGCCCTGGTGGGACCAAGGAGTCCCGCCGGGACCCCCAGGACCACCGAGACCCCCAGCGCTGCCAGGACCCCCCAACCCCACCGGGACCCCCCAGCCCCACCAGGACCCCCCAGCCCCACTAGGACCACCACAGTACCAAGCTCTGCTAGGACCCCCCAGCTTTGTCGGGACCTCTGGGGTCCCCAGACCCACCAGGACTCCCCGGGGTCTCAAGCCCTGCTGGGACTCCCGAACCCCATCAGGACCCCCGGAGCCCTATCAGGACCCCCCCACACACTATCAGGACCCCCGGGGATCTCAGTCCTTCTAGGATCGGGGTCGCAGCCATGACCATCCCACTCTAAGGCGGTTCAGTCCCCCCTTTGCTGCCCCATCCCGGGGGTCCCGCAGGTGGGGCACCCCCGGCCTCTCACCCACTGTGTCCCTGTCTCCCTTCCGAGCTTTAGGAAACCCCAGCGAGCACCCTTGGAGTGGGTGACCCCCAATGCGGGGGGGCTCGCAGTGGGCCCCCCCTCCCCAGACCCCGCCGGTGACGCAGAGCCGAGCGGTGGTTTCCCAACCGGGAAGTCATTTTGTGAGTGCCGGCACAGGCCGGGCCTAAGCTGCCCTCGCCGGGGCCACCCAGCACCCAGCCGGGCTGAGACCAGACACAGCTCATCGCAGGGGTGGCCTGAGGGCGTGTGGGGGGCGTGAGACCCCCCCAGAGCGGGGAATTGGGGCAGCTGCAGCCCGTAGGACCCACCGACAGAACCGGCTGGAGCCGGGAGAGCGCTCGGATCCAGCGCCCGCATCCAGCGCCCGCCGTCGCCCTTCGCTGGGCACGAGGACGTGAGGCCCCGGTGGGTGCTGGCAGGGGCTCTGGGGTCAGAGGGGTCCAGGCAGGGGGTCGTGGTGGTGGGAACCCCTGGAGGGCTCCATGGGGTATCACTGGTGTCTCGTACGGGGCTGAGCCCACTCTCGGGGCTCCCAGTGGAGGCTCTTCCAGCACTCCCAGGGCTGGTTGTGATGGTGAATTTGGGGGGTACCCCCCAGCCAGGCCTTTCCACTGCGCTGCCGGATCCGGGGCTGTGGCCGGGCCGGCCCTGGCAGCCTTGTTTCCTAAGGAAATCAGGCTGGGAAGAAAAGGCAGCCCCTTCTTCCTCTCCCCACAGCCGGGGGAAAGGCCCAGGGGAGAGGCTGGGGGTGCCGGGGCACAGCCCCAGATGTGTCACAACCTGCCTGTTCTCAGCAGGGAAGGGCTGTGGGTGCTGTTCCGTGGGGTCCTTGGGGCCGGATCTTGCCCACTGGCCCTGGCCAGGCTGTGGGTGGAACAGTGGCAAGGCTGGGCTCAGAGCCCCCCCGTTCACCCCAGGGGCGTTAGACCCCATTTTGGGGGGTTATCCCCTGTGCTGGGGGGCTGCTCCTGCAGCCCCAGCCCCGCTCCTCCCCGCCAGGAGCAGGAAGTGCGGCCCGGCAGCCGCGGACTTTGGCCCATCCGGCGTCGCCGGCGCAGAGGCAGAGGAAGGAACTCTTCCTGTTTGCCTGTGTGGTGGGTCCAGCACCCACGGGCCCAGCTGTGGCTCAGCTCGGCCTTGGGCCGGCGCGGGGACTCTCCGCTGGCTCACACAGGGTTGTGCTCAGGCCTGTCGTGGGTGGGTGAGTTCCAGGTGCTCTTGCAGCAGAGGAGCTGTGTCTCCTCGGGATGGGGGAACCCCTGTTTTGGGGGTGAACCCCCCTTCCCACATCCCCTTGCCTACCCCAGGCAGGGCCATGGGGCTTTGGGGTAAAATCCCACCAGCCCCTGTTTGTTTTCCCCCCATCTGCTCTTGGAGCTGCAGCGGAAGAGCTCAACCTCCGGCCCCTTTTCGGAAAGGCCGGGATATTTATAGCTCCTGGCTCAGGGAGTTGGGATTTGCCACGGCTGCCTCCATCCCCCCCATCCTGCCGCAGCATCCTTCAGCTGTGTCCTGCCCTGATCCAGCCCTGGCCATGGGGAGCTCTGGGTGATGGCCAGAGTCCCTTGGGGGGACTCTGCGTGATCCCAGGGGTCTCCTGGGGGTCTCCATCTCTGTTTGGTGGACGGGAGGTCAGTTTGGCATTGATTTGGGGCAGACATCCCCCCTCCCTTCCCAGTGCCAGCCAGCTGCTCCTGCCCACGCCGTGCCGGCCCCAGCGGGTGCCCCGCAGTGTCCCCATGGAGTGACCCCGCGGGGGTCTCGGCGCCGGGGGGACCCTGGCTCCCGCCACCAGCATGAGCGACTTCTGGCACAAGCTGGGCTGCTGCGTCGTGGAGAAGCCCCAGCCTGTGAGTACCCCGGGGCGCTGGGGCTTTGGGGTGGGGCTGGGGGGGGTCAGCAGCGGGCTCACGGCCTTCATCGCCCCACAGAAGAAGAGGAGGAGGAGGATCGACCGCTCCATGATCGGGGAGCCCATGAACTTCGTGCACCTGACGCACATCGGCTCCGGAGACATGGCCGCGGGAGAGGGGCTGCCCATGGTACCTGGGGCAGGGCCGGGCGGGGGGTTTTGGGGTTGATGGGTGTCAGTGTCGGGGTGCTGGGTCTCACGGTTCGCTGATGGGTCTTGCTTTGGGGTGCTGGGTCTCCCAGTTGGGTGTTGCTTTTGGGGTGCTGGGTGTCCCTTTTGGAGTGGTGGTGTCCCGTTTGGGTGGTGGGTGTCCCTCTCGGGGTGCTGGGTGTCCTGAGTGGGTGACAGGGTGGCACAGTGGGTGACAGGCCCTCCCTGCAGACCGGTGCCATGCAGGAGATGCGATCCAAGGGCGGCCGGGAGCGACAGTGGAGCAACTCCCGGGTGTTGTAGCGTGTGAGTCCATGGCCCCCCCCCAGCACCCAGTGCCCCCTCGGAGGCACCAGCACCGAGTGTCACCCGAAGGAGCCTCCTCTCCTGTGCTCCCGTAACCCGACCTCTGGGATTTCACAGATTCCTGGCGTTTTCAGCCCGAACTTGAACTGCCCCCCCGCCCCCGCTGGAGGAGAGGCCGCCTTGGAGCCCCGCGGTATTTATGCAGCACCAGCCTCGCCCAGCTCCCGGTGACTTCTGGTCGTCATTCCCCCGGGAAATCTCTCCTTCCCGGGGGCATCGGGCGGTGACACGGGGAGGGGGTGGGGTTAACAGCCCCCTCCTCCTGCCCCACCTGGGAAGGACACAGCCACCCCCTGGACCGTGCCAGGAGCTGCCAGGCGCAGCCCACGCGTGCCAAACCTTCCCGGGGTTCCCTTTGCCTGCTCTGGTGTGTCCCGTGGGCTGCCCGGTGGTGCCTCCTGGGATGGCACAGAGGAGCAAAACCGGGATTAAGCCCCGACATTCTGGTGCCAAACCGGGCTCGAACCCGAGATATTCCGGTGCAAAGCCAGGATATGGTGTCAAACGGGGATTAAACCCTGATGCTTTGGTGCCAAACCAGGATCAAACCCCGGCACTCCGGTGTCTCACCATCACCGAGCCCGCAGTGCCTCCCCCCGGCATTCCCACCACTGCCAAACTCCCCCCTTTTTTTAGGATATGTTCTTTTTTTTAAACTCCTAAACCCCCCTGAGCAGCTTCTGTGGGGGCAAGGCCGTGTTGGGGTCCCCTCCACCCAGGACTGTCACCTGCAGAGGCAGGACCAGAGCCCGACCCCAGGAGGCTCCCGAATTCAGGCGCGGGTGTAAATAGTTTAATTAGCGCCATTTCATTAGGATTAAACGTTAAACAGCCTGTGCTGGGTGACAGAGCCTTTCCCCTTCACTGGGCTCCTCCGGGATGCTCTGGGCAGAGCTGGGCTTGTCCAGGCCTGCCTCATGTTTGTAGGGGGGATTGCAGCCCAGGGAAAGAGGGGCTTCACCCCCTGGAGCGGGTGGGGGGCACCCCCAGCATGAGGGGGGCAGCACCAGACCTGGCCAGAATAAAAGCCGAGAGCCCAAAGTGGAAGAAAAGGGAAGTTTAATCCTTGGAAAATGTGGGTGACATTCCTGGGCTGGCTGCGTGTCCGGACCCGGCATCCAGGGCCCCCCCTGCAGCCCTCCAGGGGAGGGAAGAACATCAAGAACTCGTTAAAAAACAACCCCCCAGTGCCCTCATTAAGTGCGTGCAACTGCTGCCCCCAAAAACCCACCCTGGGGGACTGTGGGGGCGGGGGGAGCCCACTGGGGGCACAGCTCACACTGAGGAGCAAGAGCTGAGCTCTATAACGAAGGTGGCTGCAACCCCCCATGCCCGGGCACCCCCCAGGGCCTACTCAGGGACCCCAACCTCTCGTCCAGCCCTCCGGAGCCGCGGGGTGCCCGCTGTTATTTGGGGGAGCCGGGGGGCTGCCCCGTGGCGATGCGGCTGACCCGCTCCAGGACTTCCTGGGGGCACAGCGGGGGCACAGCCTGCGCCAGAGGACACTCCTCCACCAGGCTGTTCATGGGGGTGGGCGGGGGCACCACCTCCTCCTCGGGACCCCCGGCAGCTCCCGCGCCCCCCAGGGCTGCCCGCAGGATGGGCAGGACCTTCTTGCGAGAGGCCAAGGCGTTGCCCTGGGCGAAGGCGCCCACGCAGGGCCAGGGGCTGGGCAGGGGCTGCAAGTGCAGGGACGGCGTCGTCGCCTCCTCCAGCGCCCGGCACAGCTACGAGGGAGCACCACAATCAGGAGCATTCAGGGCCAGCCAGCTGAGAGCGCCTGGCCCCCCCAGCTCACCGTGCCGCGGAGGGTCTCGCAGCGGCTGTAGACCGCCAGCTTGCGGGTGGGCTCGTGGCGCTCGTTGAAGGAGACGGTCATGGCCACCAGCCCTGCGTAGCCATGGGCCTGGCAGAAGCCATCCAGGTCCTGCAGCAAGCCAGGCCGGAGCAGGAACGTCTGTGGACAGGGAAGAGGCTCTTTGGCGTCACCGCCGTGTCCCCAGCGTGCCACTCCCCGCCTCGGTTCCCCCCCACCAAAGGCCTCACTTCCAGGTCCACGTAGATGCCGCTGATGGCGAGGACCAGCTCGTCACTGGAGAGCACTTTGAGGTCCTTGCGCAGCATCTGCTCTGTCGTCAGCCCTGGGAGGGGACGGGGCGAGCGTGAGCCCAGGGATGCATTGCTGTCCCCAGGGAGATGGGGGGTGCCCAGGCTGTCACCGCACCCGAGACATCAAACTTGGCCGCCTGCAGGGCCCCGAAGACGCTGTCGCGGGGCGGCAGCTCGGGGAACCTGTCCTCGAGCAGGGCCACGCATGCCACGTCCCGCGGCGTCACCTTGCCGGCGGCCGGGCTCAGGTTGATGCAGTCCAGGAGGATGGTGCCTGCAGGGGACACGGGGCTGTGTTGGCACCGTCCCCTCGGCCGGGGCCGGGCCGGGCCCCCCCATCCTCACCGTGCAGCAGCGCGGCCGTGGTTCTGTCCAGCAGCCCCGGGGGGCCCTGGGCGATGCGCTCGGTCACCAGCGTGGCACAGGAGCCCACCGGCTCCACCGTCACCCGGCACGGTGGGCCGCGGTCCCGCTCCAGCGGCCGGTGGTCCAGCACCTCCACCACGGCCTCCTCCAGGGCTGCGTCGGCACTGCTGGGCAACACGGGGAGGGTCACCCCCGGCAGAGCCTGGGAGCCCCCTGTATTGCTCTCCTGCCCTAAAAACACCCCGGAAATCCGACCCGTGCCAAGCCAAGCCAAGCCAAGCGAGGAAAGCGCGAGGCTCTGGCTGGGCGGGCGGGCATCCCCGTGTCACCCCCGGCTCACCCGGGCAGGACGTGGTGATCCACCAGCGTCAGGGAGAGCAGCCCGGCGTGGTGCAGCCCCCCCAGGTCGATCTCATCCCGGAAGATGAGGGAGGTGGCCGGGATGCCCTGTTCCCGCAGCAGGAACGTCGTCTCCGTCCGCAGCGCGAAGTCGGCGCGGGGGATGTTCAGCACCGGCACGAAGGCGGCTCCAGGAGCTGGGGAGCTCTGCGGGGGGGGTGACACCCAGTGAGGCGTCCCCCGGGCCACCGTGTCCCCGACCCAGCGCGAGGGACCCACCTGGGCCAGGAAATAGGCCAGGGCCAGTGCTGAGACCGTGGAGTCCAGGTCACAGGCCTCGTTGCCCATCACCACGTGGATCTCCCAGTGATGCTGGATGTGATCCTGCCGGGGTGGGACACATCAGGCATGGCAGAGATGCGTCCCCGTCCTCCAAAAACCCCCAAACCCCTCCCTTCCCCTTCGAGGGGTTACTCCAGCCTCCCTGGAGCCACTCATCACTGATGTCACCTACACTAAACCCCATCGTCTTTGGGTGTGTGTGTGAAATGGGGTGCACTAGGGCTCTGGGGAGAGCAGGAAAACCACCTCAGCCCAGCGTGGGGACAGGGACCATCCCACCCCCGCAGCCCTGGGAGCATTTTAACCTGTTTTTCCCAGAAATGGTGACTTTGGGGCTGGCTGTCCCCCCCAAAACATGATGTTTCACCCCTTTTTTTCTCGCCTGCAGCAGCAAGAAAAACATGTCAGTCCTCCAGCGCCCGTCCCAGGTGCCTGTCACGCTCCAGGGAGCCGCCCCAGCCCCAGGCTGTTTTTTGGGGACAATCTCTCCTGCCATAACCCAGATTCACTCATTGCTTCCGTAGGAGCCCAGGAAATAAAGCAGCAGGTCGGGGGACCTGCACCCCCTGTGCTGCAGGGGGTGGGAGGGGGGTGCTGGGGAGGGTTTGGGGTGTCCCTGGTGTGGCTGTGGAGGGAGCAGCCCCACTCCCCAGGGGAGATGGGGGCACCCCCCTTGGGGGTATCGGTTCTCTGGGCACCCAGACCCCCTGCCCCCCACACCCTTGGGCATGCAGACCCCTCTGCCCCCTGTTCCTCCTGCACCCCTGGCCATGCAGCCCCCTCTGCACCCCTGGCCGTGCAGCCCCCTGCCCCCCACTTTCCTGGGCACCTCTGCCCCCCATGGCACCCCATGCACCCCAATTCCCACTGTCCCCTGCCCCCCCATGAGGCATCGGTCCCCTGAACCCCCAGACCCCTGAGCACCCCAGACCCCCTCAGACCCCCACATGCCAGACCCCTGAGCCCCCAGACCCCCTGACCCCCCCAGCCCCCCGTACCTGCAGAGCTGCCCGGTTGCCCCGCACGAACCGCTCCATCACGGCGCCGACCCGCGCCCCGACCCGCGCGGCCCCTCCCAGTATAGCCCAGTGTAACCCACTAGAGCCCAGAACAGCCCAGTATAACCCAGTATAGCCAGTACAGCCTGGAGTAACCCACTGTAGCCCAGTAGAGCCGAACACAGTCCAGTGGGGCACACTCCAGTACAACCCACTATAGCCCAGTAAAGCCCATTACAACCCCCTATAGCCCAGTACAACACACTACAGCCCAGTACAGCCCACTATAACCCAGTACAGCCCAGTACAGCACCCCCACGCCGCGGGGGCTGCTGGGAAGGGGCGTGGCACCGAGGGGCGTGTCCCTTCCCGGCATCCCCGCGGATCGGGGGGGGCCCAGGGGGGACCCCCCGAAATCCTCCGGACGCCCCAAAACTCTCCCGTAACCCCCCAACCTCCTTTACAACCCCAACCCCCCCCATCCTCTTCCCCTCGGCCCCCAAAACTCTCCGGGACCCCAAAACCCTCCACCCCCAACCGCCCTCCCAAGAACCTCCCGCCCCCTCCCGCACAGGTGCGATCCCCCAAAGTTTCTTACACCCCCAAAATTACACCTTTAATCCTCTTCCTCCTCCTCCTCCTCCTCCCCCCGCCCTAAATCCGCCTTCCCAGCGGAAAGCCGGGGCGGCTGGAGGTGGAAAACAGGCCCCGTGGAACCGGGAAAAGTGGGAAAAACGGGGGGAAAGGAGAGAAAAGGGGAGAAAAAAGAGGGGGAAAAGGATAAAAGAAGGGGGACAGCGAAAAAAGGAAAAAAAAAACGAAGGGGAAAAGGAGGAAGAGAGGAGGAAACGAGGAGCGAAAAGGAGGATTAAAGAGGAAAAGAGAAGGGGAAACGGAAAGAAAAGCGGAAAAAAAAGAAGAAGGAAGAGAAAGAAGGAAAAAAGAATAAAGAAGGGGAAAGGAGGAATAAAGGAGGAAAAAGGTAAAAAGGATTGAAAAGGAGGAATAAAGTGGGGGAAAAAAAACAAGGGGGAAGAGGAGGAAAAAGAAGGGGAAGAGGAGGGAAAAAAGAAGGGAAAATAAGGGAAAAGGAGGATAAACGAGGAATAAAGAAGGAAAAAAAGGAAGAAAACCAAGGAATAAGGAAGGAAAAAGGAGTAAAAAGAAGGAAAAGAAGGTGGGAACGGGATCCCGAGCGCCGGTCGGGACCGGGGAGTGGGAGGGGCTGGGGGGTCCTGGGGTGACCCCGGGCGGGGACACCGAGGCGGGGCCAGAACCCGAGACCCCCGGCCCCCAAAACCCCCGACCACGCCCCGGCCCCGCCCCGAGACCCCGACCCAGCCCGGCCGGTCTGTCCGGCCCCGGGTGGGGCAGGGCCGGGAAACTCATCCCATGGAAATCCAACCCCACCGGCTGCCCGGCCTTGGTTACGTTCTGTTCTGTTCTATTCTATTCCTATTCCTATTCCTATTCTATTCCTATTCTATTCTATTCTATTCTATTCTATTCTATTCTATTCTATTCTATTCTATTCTATTCTATTCTATTCTATCTATATTACTTTATTCTATTTTATTTTATTCTATTTTCTATTTTATTTTATTCTATTTTCTATTTTATTCTATTTGACTTTATTTTATTTTATTTTATATCACTCCGTCAGTTCATTTCATGTTTTACTCAGTTAGTTTGTATTTCATTTTGATTCTGGCGATTTGGAAAGAACATGTCAACGTAGTTATTTACCTTATTATTAACCCTGTTTGTTTTATCCATCTGCTTACTCGTCAAAACATTTTCCTCTCATTTATTTGATTAATAATACTCTTTATTCATCAACTCATCTCTCTGTATGTACTAGGACTATTTATTATGTATCTGTAATATTTCATTTATATTATTGCATTTATTTACTTGATATATTGATTATGTTACATTCTCTATATATTTTTATATTTTATATATTACATATTATAGTATATATTCTATAAAAATATAATATATAAATAGACTGTATTATTCATATATTATATTAGTTTAATGTGTAATATTTTATATTAATACATATATTATTATAGTTATTATCTATATATTATCTATATTTATTTTATTTTCCTGACATTCCCAATTTTTCCTTTCTAAGGTTGGAATTTGGGATGTGGCTGTTCCTGGACAACCCCGGAGCGTTCCCAGGAGCCTGATCCGGAGCTGCTCAAGGGGAGGGTCTCCCATGGAGCAGGAAGGGACCCTCCCGGCCCCTCCCAGCGGGGCAGGGACCCTCCAGCTGCCGGAGGAGGGGGCTGAGGAGGACACAATTCCCGCCCTGGGCCGGCAGAGCCCGGAACCAGCCGGAGATTCCAGGGAGGGGGAGCCGGGGGGTGCCCCGGGACCCCCCCGCGATGAGGAGCCTCGGGGGGACCCTCTGAGCCCAGAGGGAGGGGGGTCCTCCCCTGGCCCGGCCGAGCCCCCCCGGGCCCCTGAGTTCTACTGCGTGAAGTGGATCCGCTGGAGGGGGGAGCGCACGCCCGTCATCACCCAGAGCGAGAACGGGCCCTGCCCGCTGCTCGCCATCATGAACGTCCTCCTGCTGCGCTGGAAGGCAAGGCGGGGGTCCCGGGGGGTCCCTGGGGGGGAGGGGGCTCGGCCCCGGCTGTCCCTGAACCCCGGCGGGAAGGGGGTCCCATCCTCCCCTCGTTGCAGGTGAAGCTGCCCCCGCAGAAGGAGGTGATCACGGCCGAGGAGCTGATGGCACACCTGGGTGAGCTCCCCTGGGACCCCCACACTCCTGTCCCTCCCCAGGATGGGGATGGGGGAGCGGGGCCTCCCCTGGGACCCCCCCACCCCTGCCCTGCTGGGGCTGTGCCAGGGGTGACCCCACTGCCTTCCAGGGGATTGTATCCTGGCCACCCAACCCCGGGAGACATCGGAGGGGCTCCAGCTCAACTTCCAGCAGGTGAGGAGCAACAGCCCAGGTCACCCAACCCCACCACTGACCTCCCTCATCCTCTTGGGGACTTGGGGTTCCCCCTCCAGGAGCAAACCCCCCTTGTTCCTCCTCCCTCCCAGAACATCAGTGACACCATGACGGTGCTCCCGAAGCTCTCGACGGGGCTGGATGTCAACGTGAGGTTCACGGGGGTCTCGGATTTTGAGTACACCCCCGAGTGCATCGTCTTTGACCTCCTCAACATCCCCCTCTACCACGGCTGGCTGGTGGACCCCCAGGTGAGGACACCCCTTGATCCAAGGGCCGCAGAACCTCTGCTCTGAGGGGTTGGGGTCAATCCTGGGCAAGGCCAGCAAGCTGTGGATGGATTCCCCATCCCTGGGAGTGTGCAAGGCCAGGTTGGACGGGGGCTTGGAGCAACCTGGGCTATGGAAGGTGTCCCCACCCATGGCAGGAGGGTTCTGGATAATCCTAGAAAGTCCTCTCCTGACCCAGACCCCTCTGTGATGTTTTGGATGGGGCTTTAAACCCGAGCTAATGGACGATTAAAGGGAGGAAGCTGGACCAGGTGATCCCTCCCATCCCAAACCCTTCTGTGACGGTGGACACCATCAGGAATGTCCCTGTGATGGTGAATCTTCAAGCTGAGCCACCCCTGGGCTGCCACAGGTGGGAAGCCAGGAGCTCACCCCCCTTCCCTGCCCTCCCTGCAGAGCCCGGAGATGGTCCAGGCCGTGGGCAAGCTCAGCTACAACCAACTGGTGGAGAAGATCATCACCTGCAAACAGGCCACCGACTCCAGCCTGGTGAGCGAAGGTAACGGCTCCCCCTGCCCCAGCCCCCTCCCCGGGGTCCCTGGGGCAGAGCTGGACCCCAGCCCTCCCCGGGGTCCCTGGGGCAGAGCTGGACCCCCCAGCCCCCTCCCCGGGGTCCCTGGGGCAGAGCTGGACCCCCAGCCCCACTGCCCCCCTCGGTGTGCCCGCAGGGCTGGTGGCCGAGCAGTTCCTGGAGGCCACGGCGTCGCAGCTGAGCTACCACGGGCTGTGCGAGCTCACGGCCGCGGCCCCCGAGGGCCAGCTCGGCGTCTTCTTCCGCAACAACCACTTCAGCACCATCACCAAGCACAAGGTGGGCCCCTGGACACCCTCCCCATGCCCTGTGCCTCCCCAGAACGTCCTCCTGCACTGAGTGTGCCCTGTGCCCGTCCCCAGGGCCACCTGTACCTGCTGGTGACGGACCAGGGCTTCCTGCGCGAGGAGGGGGTGGTCTGGGAGAGCCTGCACACGGTGGACGGGGACAGCTGCTTCTGTGACACCGACTTCCACCTCAGCCACGCCCCGGCCCAGGGGGGGGACCCCGCGGCCCCCCCGGCCCAGCAGCTGCAGCAGAGACAAGTGGACCAGGTGGGGTCGGGCGGTGGGAGGGGGGGACACGCCCGAGTTTGGTCCCAGCCCAGCCCCAGGGTCCGGGCTGGCCATGCTGACCCCCCCTCTGTGTGTTCCTGTCCCCCCCAGGATTACATGGTGGCCCTGTCCCTGCAGCAGCAGCAGGGGCAGGACCCCCCTCGGTGCTCAGTGACCTGGAGCTGGCGCGGCAGCTGCAGCAGGAGGAGTATCAGCAGCACCACCCTCACCCTCCTCCTCCTCAGCAGCAGCAGCTGCAGGTGCCAGGGCAGGTAACCAGGTGCCCCCTCACCCCCTGCCCTTCTGGGGGTGTAGGGGGGTCTCTGCAAGGTCCCCTCCCTCCCCACACCCCCCTTGTCCCTGCAGGTGGGTGGTGGCCCCGGGGGGGTCCCTGCAGGTGGGTGGTGGCCCGGGGGGGTCCCTGCAGGTCCCCCCACACCCCCTTGTCCCTGCAGGTGGGGGGACGTCTGTCCGGAGAGCGGAGGCAGCGGCAGAGGCTGGATCTGGACTGTACCCTCCTGTAGCCCCCCCGGGGAGGTCCCCACGCCCAGACCCCCCAACTGTGTCCTCCGGGAAGGTCCCCCGGAGGTCCCTGGGGGGCTGCAGAGGAGACACAGACACGGGGGGGGTGACTGAGCCCAGTGCTGGGACCACCCCGATCCTTCCAGTGGCCTTAACACGGGGTCCCTCTCGGGGGGTCCCACTCAGGGGGGGTCCCATCATGGGGGTCCCACTCAGGGGGTCCCATCAGGGGGTCCCATACCTCAATCCATGTTCCAGGACACGTGTCTGGGGGGCACCTGCACCCCCCTGTTCCAAACACTGCCTTAGCCCTCGGCAAGTAAAGGACTTGTCCCCCCTGCACATGGGTCTGGCTCTGACACCCACGGGGGGCTTTGGGGTGATGGGACCCTCCACACCCCTCGGACACGGGGGTTGGGGGGGCTCTGCGGGGATTTGGGGCTCCCTCCGGGGGGTGCAGTGACGCGGCGCGGCCCGCAGGGGGCGATAGGGGCGAGTGGGGTCTATGGGGGGACATAGAGGGCATGAAGGGGGGCCCTGAATGTGTAGGGGGGATTGGGGTGAGCGAAGAGTGCTCGGGGTCTGGATAGGGCCCTATGGGGGGCCATATAGAGGGGCACAGGGGTGTAGATGTGGGGTGTGTATGGGGCATACACGGATGTGTATGGAGTATATAGGGGCGTGTATATGGGGGGCGTAGGGCACACACGGTGGTGCATATGGGGTGTGCACAGGGACTGTATATGGGGGTGTAGGGCACACAGGGGGTGTCTATGGGATGCCTACATGGTCTGTCCATGGGGTGTCTATGGGATGTGTGCAGGGTCTGTCCATGGGGTGTATATGGGATGTGTGCAGGGTCTGTCCATGGGGTGTATATGGGATGTCTGTAGGGTCTGTCCATGGGGTGTCTATGGGATGTGTGCAGGGTCTGTCCATGGGGTGTCGATGGGATGTGTGTAGGGTCTGTCCATGGGGTGTCTATGGGATGTCTGTAGGGTCTGTCCATGGGGTGTATATGGGATGTCTGTAGGGTCTGTCCATGGGGTGTATATGGGATGTCTGTAGGGTCTGTCCATGGGGTGTATATGGGATGTCTGTAGGGTCTGTCCATGGGGTGTATATGGGATGTCTGTAGGGTCTGTCTATGTGGTGTCTATGGGATGTCTGCAGGGTCTGTCCATGGGGTGTCTATGGGATGTCTGCAGGGTCTGTCCATGGGGTGTATATGGGATGTCTGTAGGGTCTGTCCATGGGGTGTATATGGGGTGTTCTCAGGGTCCCCCCCCCGCGCCGATCCCCTCTCGGCGGTCGATTGCTCGGGGCTGG